GCAGGAGAACAAACAAAGCCCTGTTTGCTTTTGTTAAATGATGCCCACAAATGTATCTTTGAACATCAGGTGCGAACAAAACCAACACCACAACCTGTTACTGAATGTAAACAAAGCACAAAACTCTATTAAAGAATGAAACGCATGGAGAATAATAATACTAGACAAAAACAAATGAAAAAGGATTATTATACTGGGTTATCTAACGGTATATATTTTTATATATACATACATTTTCATATATTTGTTCTAACAGAAAGACATAAAATAAGATGAGATGATTAATCTCACACAGGAGAAATTTACACGTCACATTTTGCGTACTGTACGTAGATAGAATCACAGTACAATGTATCAATCAGACCACAACTTCTTCACAACAACATCTTTCTTTTAGAAAACTTGTTATCTTTTGAATACTTTTCGCTTTTCTGTCTGTAAAGGTTGATCCAAAAAACACATGCATGTTATTTATTTATGAATTGTTTATTTGGTTGGGACAGTGCATGTTAATGAACACACCTCTCCGGATTGTAGCTTTGGGCTGAATTGCATCCGGTGTCCCACATTCACACTCACAAACACACACTCATTCACCCTGAACTATGGTACAAGTTTTTAGGAAAAAACCTAGGCATGAAATGGGGAGAACATGCAAACTCCACTCAGAAAGGCCCTGGCCCGACCGGGATTCGAACCCAGAACCTTGCTGAGAAGTGAGATTTCATTACATAGTTCTATTTATGTGGTCAATGATGTCACAATCTCTAATTCAATGTATTGCGGCTAAATATTTTTTTCTAAACAATTTACCTTCAGTCTGAAATTAAACATCTACAGGAGTTTCTTGCAGGACACAGCTAAGGAGAAGATTTCCCCTGTCTTCCTTCCCCTTGCCTCACCGCTGCTTCACCTCTCCGACTCAAAAACCATAACTGCAAAACATAAGCTCGCTGCCTGTTTGCCCTGGTCCTACTGTGATACATCCACTAATCTCTTTTGCCTCCTTCATGGCTCTATTATTTGTAATAGCAAAACAATCAGACTTTATGGCCCAGCACCGCATCTAACGGAATACAGGCGCCACCTAATTTAATACTTCAGGAATTGGCTGCACATTCTGCCCCTGGCTTTTCCCGTCGCTAGCTCAATAGGGATGTAAATGCTGCTATGATAATGCCAATAACTAGGTTCATTGGAGCTAGTGATAAACCAAGAATTGAATGGACGACCCAGGGGCAGTGTACCTGTTTCCCCTGGCGCTCTGATTTACTACCAAGGAAGGGACTGTTTCATTATGGAGGGAGGCAGTAGCCGTGTAACAGAAAAGCACCAGTTTGAAGATTAAAACATGCAGTTACAAGCCTCTCTGGGAAAAGTGTGTGTGTGTGTGTGTGTACACCAGTGTTCTGTGGGTTCAAGTGCAGAGACTAATAGAATGGCCCTTTTAATATCCAATTTCGCCTTAATGCTGTTTGCAAAGACATACATAAACGGCTGCCTTGGCTTCCATCTAAAATTGATACACAGAACATGGCAATTATTCTATTACAGCCGGCTGCCAAGTGCACGGACGCTTTAATAATTCATATAGATAATAATGTTTCTGTGTTATTTTCTCTCTGGTTGTCTGCATCTTAGGGATATAATATAGTGACTAACGTTTTGAAATTTAACAGTATCATTAACTTTTGCAATGGTTATATAGTATAGCTGTAATCATAAAATCCTAAGCTACCCAGGTTTGAAAGGAGACATATTATCCAAATTTACTTTTTTGAGTTTGTTACGATGATGCTACCTCTTCAAAAACAGACCTCAAGTTGTTTTTGGATCCATCCACGCTTCTGACACAAGCATGTAACTCCGCCCCTCCTCTTTAAACGCTCTTGTCTCAGTCCTTTAATGATATGATGTAATTGTACCACTGTGACATCAGAGCAGTTTTCTGCCATTTAAATACAGCATAGTTTATGGAAATTGTGTTCTTTGCAATCACACTGCAGCTGGTTGCAGATGGTAATTTTAAATTCTACACCTCCCTTTGGTGGTAGCATAGAGAGTATAGTTTGAAAGCGTTATTTATCCTTGATTCATGTTTCACCATATATTTTCTACTGGAGAAATATTTTATATATATATTATTTCACATTCTAAAACATGAAACGACAACGTCAATCTCATTTCCATCTGGAGAGACTACAAGAGACAAGATGCATAAAGCGATTTATTGATTGCAAGTTTGTTTGTAGTTTATTAGTTTTCCGCATCGGCCCCCGGCTGTGGCCTTGCTCTGTGATGATCGATGCTTGATTGCAGATTATGATCCTGGGGCTCAAGCACTTTTGGCGGTAACATGACCAGGTGGATGCGAGTGTGTGATGAAATCCTGAGGTGGAGGCGGGGAGCAGGTGGTTGCGGCTTGAAAGGGCGTTTGGTGCGTGGTGTCCTGCTTTTAAGCGCTGGCTTGATTTGCACGGCTGGCAGGGGACTTGACAAAGCTGATGTGATGGCAGTGATGGGCAGTAGTGACGCTACTAGCTTAACTCTATTTTTCAGTAGCTTGATGGTAGCGTCACTATTTACAAAACCAAGTAAATTTTCTGTAGCTAAGCTATTTCATTGAGCAAGTAGCGCGGTAGCATCCTCCAAAGCTATTTTCTAATTTCTGATATTCATATATTATTGCATTTTCCCGCAGCCAAAACAAACAAATTAGGAAGACAGAAATCTAATGTGCATGCCTTGGTGACGGCGCACAACGCAAAATGTAATTTGCATTATAAATAAAATTTATTATTATTATTATTAGTTAATTTGTAAAAAATTTTGTATGTTTTTTCTTTTCAATTTCAGAGGGTATTCTTGTTTAAATAGAGTCATTAATTGGCTCGGATTCACATTTGTTTTGTGTATATTGGGCTTCTAATGAAATACATGTTAATTTGTAATGGCTTATTAACATAATTTCTCAATTTATCTTATTTACAATTGCAACAGGCCTTCTTGTGTTTTGTTGTTGGTGTTTTGGGCTATTGTTCAATAAACATCTACATTTTAACCTTTATCTGACTGACAATTGTATTTATCACTAAAATTGCATGGACTGCAGTTTATTTAGTTGAAAGTAGCTTCTATATATCAAGCTACTTTTGACAGGATTTTGTAACTTAGCTTGCTACATTTTTATAGGTGGTAGCTTCTGTTTAGTGAAGCTGAATTGATTGTAGAGTAGCTTGTAGCTTAGCTCACTTCACAAGTCAAGTCGCTTGCCCATCACTGGTGATGAGCTGAGGAAGGAAGGGGCCGGCCTGGTGTGGTGATGTGCTTGGGTGGTCTACCAGTCTGAAGTTCCGCTTAAGCATGATAGTTGGCCAAAAGTAATGCGCAAGAGTTCTTCTTTATTACAAGTTAGGATTTTTATGGTTGCATGTACAGGATGGATGGATAAAGGATGGATGGATATACAGGATGAATGGTTATACAGCGTCATTTATCTTATCAAACTACTAGCTCAGTAAATGTAGTCAAATATAAGTAGCCAACCTCCTTCTATTTTATCCTTTGTAATACAAGACATTTGGAAATATTATCCCTCCCAAACAAACCCCAAATAACCCTCTCAACATTAGCATAAGTAGATTAAGGTGTTTACAGTACGTGGCCTGTGGCTGATGATTATCATAATTGCTTTTAAGGCTGCAAATATAAATTTTTATGAAGGCGGGCTTCCAGTGTGGCCTTCCTCAGTTGTTTTCTAATTACGTCAGCTCTCATTTGGTCTGCGCGTGACATCTATTATGCTAAAACATAGTGTAAAGCCACAAAGACGTTATAGCTTTTGAAAACGCCTCTCTTCTTTCGCTACAGTTTCAAACAACAGCCCAATTATGGCACTTGTTCGGCGCACATATTCTTGAGAGTTTGAAAGTTTGTTCATTAAAGTGTCCACACTAATGAGGTAGAACAGTGCTGTTATTACCAGGAAAGACACTTGTTTAATAGCATCCATTATAGACTTGGGTAGCCTAATCCATTATCTGTGAGAACTCAGAGTCACCCAACAGTATTTGTTTAAAACACACAAAGAAATGAGCGCACCAGCATTGATCTTTCCCCTTTTGCAATAAGCACACTTTGACAAGCGCCTCACTGCTAGTTCCTCTTCCAGTTATCACATTACACACTCATTACGATGCTCTAGTGATCGGAGGCAGTTTCATTTGTCATGGCGACACAGACCAGACACAGAAGAGCTTTTACTCTTGTTAATTACCTCCGCGTCGCAAACATGTCATTGTACATTTGCATACTGTATGTACCACACTATAATCAATTAGGAGTGGGATTCTTTTTCGAAAATATTGACAATAAGAGGTACAGTGTTTGTTTCAGTTTGCAAAGTGAGTCCACGTTTAACTAGAGGTCTATAGCAATGCACAGCCATACTTTTAATTTATGATTTTATTTTTTGATTTATTTTGAACCTCCACAACACTTATTTCTACATATATCAATATATCAGACAAATGGGTCGGATTAAGCAAATGTTCATGCTTTGCTTCAGGAACTACAATTTTGAAATACTAAATATATAGAAAACGAATCCATCATTGCAATTGCGTTTCTTATTTGTAGAAAGGATACTAAGAAGGGCTTTAAGTAGAAGTAAAAAAACATACTGCTATAAACATATATGTGTTTATTTTATTATAGCCCTTATAATAGTATAGCATGTGAAATAGTTTTTCCACGGTTGTAACATATATAAAACCGTTTTCTGATGACTTGTCTGGCCTTTTTGAACTCATGGGAATAGTCCAATCTTAGAAAGGGAGATTGGACCATATTTGAACTGTTCACTGGTATCGCATCCCATTTATCAAAGGCTAAACTCGATCTAATCTGGACTCGCTCCTGGTTTATATGCTCAGCACTATCTCCAACACTAGTTTATTTAACAGTGTTCTCACATAATATTTGTCTTTCTCTTTCTACAGCATTCGTGCTGAGCTGTGGATTCCCCAAAGAGCCCACTGGAGGAGAGGTGTCTGTGACTCACCTTCATCCTGGCGGAGAAGCCTTCTTTAGCTGCTTGACTGGCTACAAGTTACAAGGGCCCAAAATGCTTTCATGTCGCAATGCAACCACGCCATACTGGAGCGGGAAGGAACCGCGCTGCATAGGTACGCACATGCTGTTTGTGTGGAGGACAGATCAAATCATGGTGCTTTTCTAGGAGCAAAGACGTAAGAGTTAATTGAAAGTGTTGTTGCCTGTCACTTACAAGACTAAAAAGCTGAGCATCGTTATAAACTAATGTATATGCATGTGCATTTATTATTGATTTTCGTCCAAGGTCCCCCACCCAATGAAGTGTTTTCATTGTTGTTATTAGTATTCATGTTCCTTGTCAGAATGATGCTTGCACTCATTGTTTTGGAGTCAGAGCACAATGGGACTGCTTTAATCGACCTGAGAACGTATAATAACTCTGCTTCTAAAGGCGTGTGCAGCTGCCTCCTCCATGGGCTGCTGTCGCTGCTCAGAGCTGATAGTGAAGGTGCTGGTGTTGGCATCTCCTCTTTACAAGTCCATCACACACAGTCACACACTCTTAGAGCCGGTGAGGGCCACGTAGTGTAGCCTGACCACAGTCCACTGGATACAGATGTAATCTGTGCTCAGACTGAAGACTTTCCTCTAAACCTCAGCTCCACTCTGCGCCATTACCTTTTTCATTTTTAGAATACTCTCCAACGGGTTTGCCTTCACTCTCCTCTTTCTCTTCTCATGCAGCGTCCTGCGGAGGAATGATAAAAAACGCCACCTATGGTCGCATAGTCTCGCCTGGTTTCCCTGGCAACTACAGTAACAATCTGACGTGCCACTGGGTCCTGGAGGCCCCCGAGGGCCACAAGCTGCACGTGCACTTTGAAAAGGTGGCTCTGGCAGAAGATGATGACAGGTAATATATAGGGCTGGATCAACTGCCACTAACAGAGCAGTGTTTTGCAAAAACATGAGTGCACACTTTACATACCATTAGTATTAAGTCTCTGTATATTTCCTAATAAATAGTGTATTTGGACTGACTGATTTAAATATTACCAGTATTATTGGTTTCACTCTAAAATCAGTCTTCACAACTATATAAAGCAGTTGTGTGGATTCATCTAATATTCTGCCATATTAAAGTTCTCTTTGTGACTAACAGCGTCTGGTGAAGATATAAATATCCATGACCTGTGGGGAGTGCCTGTGTTAGAAAAAAGCTTTCCATCAGTACATGACTTTAACAGAGCTGGGCTACACAGAAGATGTCAAATTGCTACAGAAAACAGCAATAACATTCTGAGTTCTGTAGCAACTGATCCATAAAGTTATTAGATTTGAAAATGGAACAGTGAGCAGCCCATATGAATGCAATGTCTGCTTCCCTCTTTTAATCCGCTCATGTTTATGTTGTAGGCTGCTGATTAAAAATGGCAACAACATCGACTCTCCGCCCATCTATGACTCCTACGAGGTGGAGTACCTGCCCAACGAAGGCCTCCTCAGCACTGGACGCTACCTGTTCGTGGAGTTCACAACAGATGGAAGCTTAACCTCCACTGGGGCAGCTATCAGATATGAATGTATGTACTGTCTGATACATTTTATTTGTAAAAAAATAAAATAAAAATAACAATGTATGTGTTGTAAATCAACAAGTAAGTGATTAAAAGAAAAGTATACTGTAACATTTGCTGTAGTAGTATTTTTGAGGCCTTATTTGCATTAACCAGCTATGCTTTTTTACACTTTAACTATCTCTGCAGCTTTCGCCAAAGGAATGTGCTACGAGCCTTTTGTGAAGTATGGAAACTTCAGCAGCTCGGACTCCTCGTATGGTGTGGGAGCCGTAGTTGAATTCTCCTGTGACCCTGGCTACACCCTTGAGCAAGGCTCTGTTGTTATTGAGTGTGTGGACCCAGAAAACCCTCAGTGGAACGAGACTGAGCCAGCGTGTCGAGGTCAGCCAACATCCTGCATCTTCTCATCCTCTTCAGCATTTGTGCCAAACTATAGCTCTCCTTAAGCACCTAAAGGACACTGGCTTTCATATGGTGTATTTCTAGAATTAGTGAATCCTTTTCACCTTCACATTAAAGCTATCTTCTTGTTAAATATATCTTTTAAACAGCCTTCCTCTGATTCTTGATAAATGTAATCTTATTACAATAGAATGTCTTTGCTGGCACTGCAGATTTCAGAAGTGCTCAAGATTAAAGTGTACAAAGGTTGCCCACAGACAAACTCAGAATATTGAACACACTAAGCACAGCACTAAATAGCTGTCTACCCTCAGTGGCCTTTCCTTCTTCACTTCACATCTCCCAAACATAACACCCTGACCTCACTACCAAGCTTTGTGGGCTGCATGGTCATCCTGACACATTGCGAAAATTGAAAAGCTTTCTAGTAAAAATAGAAATGAGGAAATTAAATTTCTGTGCCCCGTGGGTCATGGTCGCTCTGAGGTTTAGTGCCTGCATGCAGTTTTACAAGGTTCTCCCCAAGGAGTCTGCACACATATCGGAAGTTTAAACACTGTACATGTCAATGGAATATTATAGAAAATACATATAATATAGTCACATAATACGCTTTCTGACATTGTTTAGCTGTTCCCTACGTTTTCATCTCATTCCCACAACATACCACCAAACCCTGATTCCTGTTTGCCGCACTGCTCCTCTATCCACACCAAGCCTCATCACTGCTGTACGAAGCTTTGAAGACACACGAGTGAGACCTCATGTTCACACAGTAATTAATACATAGTTCAGAGAAAGAACAGTGAAGAGCTTTGATGTCCGGCAAGAATAGACTTTGACATCATAGATTCCAGAGCACTGCTGCTGCATCTCACAAGGTAAGTTACATTGTAGAAAAGTGCTTATTGTGAGACATTGCACAAACTTTTTTGCAAAGATTTAATTGATGGAGAAAAAAGATTTACAGCTTCAAATGAGTGGCCTTGTGGAGTGCAGCCCAGCGTATCCTTTGTCTATGGAGGAGAGAAGAGAACTGCTATAAGGATGTTATTTTTGGCCCTAAAGAGTACTGCTGTCCAGATAATGGCTTTGAAATGCTCATGCTGTGTTATTTGTGTTGCAGCTGTGTGCAGCGGAGAGATCACAGACTCGGCTGGTGTTGTGCTGTCTCCTAATTGGCCCGAGGCCTATGACAAGGGGCAGGACTGCATCTGGGGCATCCACGTGGAAGAGGACAAGAGGATCATGCTCGACATTCAAGTGTAAGAGCGTAGCAGGTGTAGGAGCAGGAGGCGCTCACAGCGACCTTGAGATGTGATAAACATTGCACTCATCTGTACACAACACAACATGCACACAACAGTCCGCGCCTCTGTTGTTAATTAGAATGTTTAAAAATGTCCACCACATTAAGGATTCTGTATCACTTCCAGTTCGCTCTCTGACCAGATTAGCCAGTAAGCCTCCGTGCTTCCACTTCCCTGGTGTTCGTCTTGGAGTTGGTTTTGAAATGAATAGGCTCTGGCAGAGAACTCTTCTCAGCCACTTCTTCCGTCTTTGCCAACTGTAATTCAACACACATGCAGATGTCATAGAGCATGTATATGGGCCCAGTCTCCTCTTCAGCCATCCATCTTGTGTGAGCGCCCCATCCATCATCACGCAGGCACATACACAGTCACAGCTGTTAACCAGGCAGCTGGGGCGACAATGGAGCAACTACACACACACTTCTTTTGCACTGAAATAAAAATCTCTAGTAAAGCATGTTCTAATACAGATTTTATTGCATAATTGACTGTTATTTCATTGTGAAAATATGTTATAGATGCTAGAAGTTATATACTTAATCTGATTTTATGCCATGTATCTAGGCTGCAAGAGGTTAAAACCTGGGGTCACATAAAAAAAAAAAAGAGTGAAGAGATGACTGCTAGTTTTTTTGTTTGCATTTTATTTTCAAATAATGTTTCCATTGAGCTTCGATAGATAGTATTAAGCATCTGGTGTCGATAAATTAACTTCATATCTAACAATTATAAGGCAGCATGAAGAAGAGCATAAAAGTAGTGTTAGATTGAGGATGCTGATTAAAAATGGCAATAGCCTAAATTGGTCGTAATTAGACCATGCTTTAAAGTCATTAACATGAATAACTAAATGAAGTCCATCCATATGGGGCAAACAGGCAGATGTGCTAGATTTACCAGTGTGAATACCTAAACAGACATTTTGAATATATTTTAGGCCTAAAATGACTTAATGGATTTCTCTGCTGGAACAAAGAGGCTCCGCCCACTCCATTACAATGTACACTCTCTTATCTCTCAGGATAAAAGACATGGAGATATGAACAATCTGTAAAAAATTAGCTGCATATAAATGGGAATATGGGAGAGCGGGAACATGAGTTTGGTTTGTCATTTCAGTAAAGCAAACCTAAAGATTAAGTGTATATTTGGATATAGTTATAACATATTTTTCTGTGTTTTTGTATAATTTGATTTCACATATACTGTAGCTAGCAGACTTATTATCATTATATTTAAATTACTATGGCTTTATCTTTCTTTGAACCACTTTGTTTATGCGCTATGTACATATTAGACTTTATTACATTTCCCCTTAAAGTCTTCACAAGACAACAAAAACCTATGTCCTGCAATGACTTAAATATAACTACAACATATTTAGAAGAAAAAAAAATCCCTTCCTTTACCTTATAGTTTAAATAACTCCTGTTTTAAGGCAATTTCATTATTCTAGTTTTGTTTTAACTCCAAGCCACAGTTTCTCAGGGTCGGCCTCTTACTGTGATTTAATGGCACTGAGGGCAACTCTAGTTTATCTCAAGGTTGGTCATGCGTGGCCTTCATGGCAGCGTATACCACAGCCTGTTTGATCCCCACAGATCCCTCTATTACCCTCGCGCCTGCGGTTCCCGTCATTAGAATCCCGAACAATTGGTCAACATATCATTTGCGTTTGTCTGCGTGCGTGCGTGGGACATGAGAAAGAGACCATGGCTCGTGAGTGAGTGCCATCTCATTATTAGGGTGGGCACACTATACAGTAATGAGAATGTTTGGGGCATTATCATTCATCACTGAGCCTGCGCTGGCAATTACACAAGAGCAGTGTGCATAATGAGGGTTGATTAATTAATTTAGGCCAAACAGGAGGGCCGGCTCTCAGCTAATTAGCATGGAGCAAGAGCAAGAGACAAGAGGTTACCGTAGATAGTCCCACCTGTAGACACCACTACACCAGGTACATGTTCTCCGGGGGAGTGGAGATGTGCAGCCGTTCACTAAATGGTCTTTTATCTATTCTGCACAACAATATCAATTTAGTTCTGGTGCCGTGGGAAGGCGCATAATATCATCTGCTTAAGCTAAATATATAGGGTATGCACTCGAAAATGACCAGTTATTTCAATGTAACATCTTTTATTATGTTCTATTTGACATTCCTTAAAGCTGGAGGAGCTCACTTATAAAAGGAACTGCGTAAGAAAAAATTCATCTAACTAGTTCTTTGTGCAGTGTTAGCCTCTTTGGCATAAGCTTTTTTAGAGAAAGTTACAGAACAGCCTTCGCTCGGCCAATCAGCAAGCGTCAAAAAGCGACTCACAAGGATCTTTCACGCACATATATTCTAATAAGATAACATTTCAAATAAGATAAAGACAGCTAATTTGTTCACAATGTTTAACTTTTACAGGACATGATTGGACTCGGACCACATGTATTTTTGACGGGAATGAAGTTAGATACTGCCGCTTTAAGTTAAACACATTTTTATGCTATTGAATTGATTTTAACTTATTCTACTATCCTTAATATAAATCAATATTAGTGTGCGTAGTATACTGTACCATATTAATGTGGAATATGGAAAAACTAGATTGATTTTTGTTGCATTTAAGATTTACTTTACACATATCTCTTGCTTCTTTTTTGGGCTTAAGAAAAAAAGAAAGCTTTAATCCAAATTAGTGTTCTCAAGCAGAGCTACAAATTACTTTTAGTCATCTGCAACGTGCTTTTTAACAATACCGCACAGAATAAAATAGGGTAAAACTATGTCAGTTATGAACTTTCACTTTGAGCAGACTGGTTGTATAGAGCCCCCAACTGGAGACACCGAGTACTGCATGCATTCAATTCAGCTGTCAATGGAAGATGGAATGCCTGTTCACTGAAAACAATTTTTCAATCAGTGTAACAATACAAATGTCAAATATGAGTAGGAAATAGCTGCCTGTGTGGCCGTGACAGGCAAAGTAACTTTCATAGTGTAAGACTTAATAGGATTTTACTGTTTTTCCTCCAGAGTTGACTTGACAGGTCAGTTAAGGTGACAAAATGCCTTGAGGCTTGTACATTACGCAGCTGTCAGCCAAGACATCTGCAGGACGGGGAGAGCACCGATGATATGCTGAAGACATGCACGGGGGAAAATAGATAACAGACCATCAAACGTATTCACCAAAAAGTGGGAAAGTTGACAAACGATAACGCTGTGTATACACTTTTATTGAAAATCATAAATGATAACTTGAAAATGTGTTAGCAGTTACGTGAAGCCGTTTCGATCCAGATACATTTTATTTGCCATGTGCAGTAAAACCACATTGGAATACATGCGCAAAAGACCCCAGTGTGAATAAGATAACTACTCAAAATAAAGTATAACAAGATCGCGGAAATAAAACAAGTGCAGGAAAAAATTGACACAGTGAAATTGATCAACTAAAACAGTTTCAGTACAATTGCAAGATCATTGAAGCTGTATATTTTTCATCATTGAGCAGCTGGAGGTCCTTTGCCACAAAGAATGGACATCTTTACCATCAGAGAGGATAAAGAACCTCGTCCACAACTACCACAAAAGCCTCCAAGCTGCCTCAGATGTTGATGGAGGCAACACATGAAAACCTACAATCCGTGTTATTTAGATACTTCCTGTTGTCTGTATGATTTGAAAATAATAATAATGATAAAAATGACAAAAATATACAACATGTTATTATGATGATACATTACTTTACAAAATCTTGAGTGAAAAAACGGTTTTCACATTGTATGACCAAAACAATTCAAAATTTCTGCCCAGGTGTGTAAACTTTCAACGGTACAGACATACACTTACACATAATCACAACTTTTTTAATTGTCTGTAGTTTTGCTGTTAACCCTTTAATGGTTTCCTCAAGCATTTGGTGGATCGCTTTCCCAGTCACATATATACATCTACGTGAAGCTTAGAACTCAAATCGGCCTCTTTGGGGCATCTCTATCAGTCGGTTTTAGGCACTTTACCATCAAACTGCATTTCAACCATTTGGTAAAGGCCTATAATTAAATACTAGGGGGTCAAAAAAATATTAAAACAAATACATCTTAAAAAATACATTTCATTCTTCAAAGAGCAAACCGTATAGGATATATGTGAGTTGCTATTATAGATTGTTTCTACTTTCAGTCTTCAACACATTGCACAGGATCAGCCGGTAAAGCGTTGGGTCTGGCAGGTGGGATGGCAGTTGGTTGGAGTTGGGTCCATATTGATGCAGAGGGAGCAGCTGAGTGGCCTGTGGAGTCTCACTGTCGCAGCCGTTAAGTCCGTACTGAGGCTCTGCGGGGTTGGCACGTGCCGTGGGTTTGGACGCGTACCAGTGTAGAAATGCAAAACCAGTGCTAGCGCCAACATGTTTGAGTTATGTGATATGAACGTCCAATATTGACTCTTCTAAAGACTGTTTTATACATACTATGCGGAGAAATACAGTACGTGTGCGAATATATGCGTGTGACTCGATCCAAGGTCTTTGTTAGAAAAAGGATGCATTCTCAGTGCGCAGATACAGGTACAGATTCCGTTTATTTGCCATTTGCAGTAAAAAACCCCACATTGGAATACATTAGCAAAAGTCACCAGTGTGCACAGACAAATACAGACATAAAGCAACATTAAAAGTACGGAAATAAAACAAATAAAACAGTAAACAAATGTCACTGTGAAATCGATCGGCTAAAACAGTTTCAAAACAAGTGCAAATCATTAAAGTGCTCTGTTCAGACTGATAACAGCTACACAGTATAGCTAGGTACAGTATTTTCATTTCCCAGTGGATGTTTTTTCAACTAATCCAACACAACATACAGGTATTAATAAGGGGAAGGTAAAGGTTCTACTTTATAGGCTCACAGTGTTGTTGGACACACAAACACACAAGACACTCTCAACATCAGGACAATCGGCTTGTCTGCCTAATTTCAACACACGTAACATCAACTCACTCAAAACTCATCTGTTTAGTCAGTTCTACTCACTTAAACCATAACTACCCCATCCTCTGTTCATGCTGCTTTTAACTGTATTTTTAAACTTGCATTTTAACTGCTTTTGAACGTACATTTTACTTTGTATGGTGACTGTGGTTGTCAAGAAAAGCGCCTAAGAAATGAAATGTATTATCATTAGTATTATTATTAAGAATATACCATAATATTGCACAATCCCATCAGTGCAAGGATACAAAACAATACACTCGTAAAAGACCACAGATTTAAACAGTTGTTACACAATGAGCAACAAAGTACATACAAATGTGTCTAAAGATTACTGCTTTTATAAACTCACTCTTTGCAAGCCATCAATTTGCTTTCAGTGAACAGAATCAGCATCAGAGAGACTGCTTATGTAGATACAAAAGCTCTATAGGAGTCGACAAGAATGGCTGAGCGCTGATGAAGAAAGAGCAGAGTATTACATCCACTGACTTTTCAAATCGTTCCCTTGAACATTTCTGCCGTCATACCTCCGCAAATATCTTGTTTTTTTCCACGCTAACTGCTGCTCTTGTGATTTGGATGAGCCCATCATTACCATTGTGCCCGCACCACTGTACAGCTGCTGATTGTGGGTAGACTAGCTATAAATTGCCCCTGTAGCGGTCCAGCTAACAAGGGGGGGTCGCTTCCTCATTTCTCTGCCATTCATTCTGCCATTTGTATTCTTCAACAGGCGGAAATTTAGCTTTGGAACGATTCACTCCACCATTACGAGCCAGCAACCAAATCCTACAATTGCTCGGAAGGGCAATTGTAGAGCATGAATATGTTAGGAAGAGCTCGAATATGTTCTTATAACTGTCAAATACAATTGGGTCTGATATATTTAACCACTAGTACTAATGTATTCTGTTGCCATGATGACCATATGTACCAAGAGAGATCAGAGCCATTAGAATTTTCATAATTTTTTAGGAGGATTTTCTACTTTATACACGGCACACAATCTGATAGTATCACAATTTTGCAATACCAGCAACAATATGATTTTTTTTATTGCACATGATATTCTGCTACATGACAAAGACATTTATTTACAACACTATTTTGTTGCTTTACTTATATAACTCCATTGTAATTCTTTGGGAGTCCCCCACCCAGAGACTTGACAGAGACAAATTAAGAGAAAAATATGAACAAAAAATTTAGATATTTGTTGAAAAGCCAATTCGTTGTATAGAAAGTGTTCAGGATTCAGAAGCTCCTGTAGCACCTAAAGGGTTAAAAATGAAAATAAATACTGGAGCAAGTAACATTTTTTCTAGCACTACCAGAAAATAATGCTGAAAAACACTAAATTTAGTATTGTGATTGATAGACATTGTTTTGCTCTCCCGAATGGGACGGTGGCGCAGTGGTTAGTGCTTGTCTCTCACCGCAAGAAGGTCCTGGGTTCGATTCCACCTCTAGACCTTTCTGTGTGGAGTTTGCATGTTCTACCCGTGTCTGCTCCAGTGTCCTCCGGGTGCTTCGGTTTTTCCTACCGCTAAAAATAAGCACAACAGATCTGGCATGCGGTCTCTGTACGCCGACCCCGCTCCCATCTCTGTGTGGAGTGAGAGACAAATGCCCACAACAATTGTACAGCGCTTTGTGACTGGTCGATGAAAGGCGCTATATAGATAACTTACTTACTTACTTACTAAATATTTATTCATACACAGGAGCAGGATTACTATTGCAAGAACACAGGTTAGGGTAAAACTAATCTGTCATGCACAATTTTAAATACAGTTTTGTGTGGGGAATTACATGTAGTGCATACCCAAATACTTAATGTTTACTTCTTCAAAAAATCCAAAATCCAAAACACAAACAGCTCTTTATGTGGGAGATGTTGTGTTCTCATTCATCTTAACCCCACTTGTATTTACTGAGAGCTCTGAGAGAGGCGAAGGTGAGAGGCGGTGTACGAAGTTATGAATAACAAATTGAGCATAGGTCATTTTGTTTCACTCTATCATCATCAAGCCGTGTCACTTTTAAGACGGCTCCCACTACGGCTGCTTTGTCTGCTGGAACGCTGCGTGATTTATTTTGTCACAAGCACTTTCAGTTGTACAGAGCAGACTTCAAAAGTAAAACACTGAATATGGAAGCGTAGAGGTCTCAGCCTTCCAACACGTTTTTCAGCTGAAAGGAAGATTCAAATAATTGGAGCCATTAATCAAAACAGGAAGGCAGCGATTTTTTGTGTGTGTTCTGTGTGTGTCGTCAATCTTGTGTTATTAACTTTGCTCATTTCTTGTCTCTAATAATAAATATTTCCCTGCATACACGGGTAAAAACCAAAACAAGAAGAGTAGAAACTAACAAAAACAGCCATCTCACATTATTAAAGTTGGGGTACCTGAGTTTTTGTTTCATATATGACACGTGTGGGACAGTAAAAGACAGGCACCAATGCTCTGGCCATACTGTAAAAGTCAGATACTGTCCGATCCTGTCAGACCTCTGAAGCTGTGCAGGGCAGGGCCTGGTTAGTACTGTGATGGGAGACCTCTGGGAACACCAGGTGCCACAGTGGGGCAATGGTCATTGTGTCCTTAGGCAAGACACTTTACCCACATTGCCTAGAATGAGTCTGGTGTGTGTAAGTAATGTTTATTTATATAGCGCATTTTACAGACCAAGGTCACCCAAAGCGCTTTACAATGTTCAGAGTTTAGATATTGTTCCAATCATTCCACACACGGTGATGACGGAAGCGAGTCGCCGAACACACTGGACCATCAGCTCGCAATCAACACCATCCATTCACTCTCTCATTTACATTCATACCTATTGAATGTAAATGAGAGTGTGTGTGTGTGAATGGTTGGTGGTGGTCGGAGGGGCTGATGGCACATATTGGTTGCCCCAGGGCAGCTGTGGCTACAGTAGTAGTTCATCACCACCATGTTTGGAGTGAAAGAATAATGACATGTAAAGTGAGTGTCCAGAAAAGTGCAATGTAAAACGGACGCATTATTATTATTATTACTATTATTATCACTATTTTTGTTATTCTGGAAGGAGTCTTGTAAAATGCTGTAGACACAAAAGATAAATTATTATAACTAGAATATCTATTTTCTAATATTCATGCTTTTTAGTCATAAGTCTTAAAACATCTTTCCATAGAAATAGATTTGTTAGGGCTAAAGCCATCACATCCAGGCAAAACAATAGTATTTAGAGACACAAACATGGATTGTAAAAATATAGCATATGGAAAAAGACTTTAACTTTGAATCTTGTATAGTTTACGAGACCTAAAACATTCCATTCCTCTATGTTTCGTAGAACAATTATGTTTTATTCATACTCTGGATCTTTGAGTGCAGACTGTATAGTGCAAATTATGATATAATCTGCACTATATATGCTATATATCCTATTTGAATTTAAATGACTTTTGAGTATTCTTTGGCGTACTTAAATATTATAGACTCAATTTTGTGTCATTTCACAACATCAGGCCAGCGTCCTGATGATTTAGCACAAGTGCAGCCTCTGGAGCATCTTCAAATGGCACACATGTAGTAAGTAAGTAAGTAAGCTTTTATTTATATACCGCCTTTTCACTGCACATCGGAGTCTCAAAGCGGTTTACAATTGTTATTTTTTTGGGAGTGCCAGTACAGGAGGCACATGCCATACCTATTGTACATATTTTTAGTGGTAGGGGAAACCGGAGCACCCGGAGGAAACCTACGCAGACACGGGGAGAACATGCAAACTCCACTCAGAAAGGCCCTGGTCCAACCGGGATTTGAACCCAGGACCTTCTTGCTGAGAGGCGAGAGTGCTATCCACTCAGCCACCGTGCCGGTCTCATCATGTAAATGATGAGACCTCACCTGAGAAGATGCCTCTAAATATGAACATAATTCATTATAATGGCCGTCTTGACATTTAAGGGGTGCTTTCTCTCAGGGCAACAGAAATATCCTACTCTTCTATTCACCATTTTCCTTGGCTATAGTGCAGCATAAATGTCAAGCTAGACTAACACTGCATAAAGAGGGCAAGAACATGTGAATTTCCAAATGGAAAAGGTTAATAGATTCTTTAGGTTAATCATGTGCTGTGGACATCCTGTCTAACCGTGTCTCTGCAGAAATACAGTACAATTCACACGTGGCAGTTTACTACTTCCCTGCCAGGCGTGCGTAGGCTTGTATCCATAAGGTACTTTTAGATAGTGGTGTTCTTTGGAAAGTATAATGTTTTCTTACATATTTATGAAATCAATGTGTTAGTGAAAAAACACATCTTGAATTATTTAGTGTTTATTTTTCACATCAGATTCATCCAATATAACCTGCATACAAATGTGGCCAGAAGTGTTGATGTGGCTTTAGTATTCTGCTGCCGTCAGCTGAATGTATGCTCTAATGCAACACAACCTACACACACATTTTTTTTCTTGGTGTTAAATCTTTTGTTTTTGTGGGTTTTAGCCTCCATCTTGGAAAGAATGACCTCTTGACGTTCTACGACGGTGATGACCTGACAGCTAACATCCTGGGCCAGTACAGCGGCACGCGGCCACACTTCAAACTCTACACGTCCATGGCAGACGTGACTGTTCAGTTTCAGTCCGACCCGGCCACAAACATCTACGGATACAACAACGGATTTGTGGTTCACTTCTTTGGTACGTGACAGCAGACACAACGATTGGTTCATGAGAAAATGCATTAGATTCATGTTGTTTTTTGGTAGAAATTTTTCATTAGGTGAAAACAATATTGTTGTTTCATTTTGATACTTACGTATAAACATAGTAAGTTTATGCTATATGCACAGCAATAGGTGCATGGAGCTTTTACTCTATACAAGTTATGAATCATTTCATAACCTGAATATTGGGCAATCAATTCTATGTATTCTTGTTTTGCCCTAAATCACAACAGTAGTTATCTCGGAGGACTTAACAAAACCCTTGAATTCGCCATCACAGATCAGAGAATCAACATTTTAACACTAGAAATGCAACAATAAAAACACATAGAGCCATTGGTTCATAAGGGACAGATGACCTTGTATGCTCTACTACTAACAACATACAAAATAGTATCATCTCCTCTGGAATGAATTTCCTCTGAATTCTCAACAGAGACTCTTCTGGTTAAATAAATATAAAAGAAGAAATAAATAATGCCTGGCTCTCTATTGTTCAAAGATGGACCAAATAGATAGATAAGTGATTGTCCATGAATGAAGAAATGCACTGCAATGCTTAACAGGCATTTGTTAAATCCATGTATTTCTATTATGTTTTGTGATTTGAGAATTGCAGAAGCAGTAAAATAATTAAACAGACACTGCACCTATGTTTTACTTTTCAAATGTATACACTGTTTACTTTAGGACTTGGCAAAACTCACTTGTTAAAATGAGTGACGCCAAAACAATTAAAAATGATTGTTTTCGGTGGAATGAGTCACTTCTCTGACTTTTCCGCGTGTGTGTGTATCCTCCTGTCTGGGTTTGGGCCAGGTGCACCGGATTAAACAAACAAAGCCACACTATTATAGAGCGCACTTCAACATCAGCTGGTTTTGTCCAACACTTTGTGCTGTTGGCAATGGCCCCGGGAGTTATTGAAGCACAGATTGACTGGTGCTACATGCTGTTTATCCACCCCAGCAACAAAAACACAGACCTATATTTACACTCCCCACCATTACACCCTCCAACGGTAAAGTAAATTATACTGCATTTCAGCGCTGTCTCACTGTCCTGTACTTGTGGTGACTTACAGAAGTGGCCAGGAATGACACATGCTCTGAGCTTCCGGAAATTAGCAACGGCTGGAAGAGCACATCACACCCTGACCTTATCCACGGAACTGTCGTCACCTACCAGTGTTACCCCGGATACGAGCTGGTGGGCTACGAGATCCTCATGTGCCAATGGGACCTGACGTGGAGCGGGGACGTGCCCAAGTGTGAGGAAGGTGAGAGGACTCAAACCGGCGCTCTGCAGGCAATACGGTACAGTACATACAGTAATATAACAATACACTGCTGCAGATGGTATGAGACACGACACCTCGCTGTGTGAAGGAGAAGTTCCGTAGGTCTTTCCTTCCTGCTGCTGTCAGACTGTACAATGAGAACTGCTGAGCCTGTAAATGGCATTCATCTGTGAATAAGGAAATATTAAAATCATGTGCAATGTGCAATACTGCAACTTCAGAATGCCATATATGTACAGTGCATAACTCTGTATATATACTACTTATATATATAAATAATTATATTTTGTTTTGAAAGACTGGTATTGAAGCATTTACAGCATTTACAGCTAGTTAAGAAACATAGCTACTACTTATTGTGTATTTTTTGTGTGATCCCTGTGTGCTCTTACTACTTTCCTGTATGTGCGCTGCAACATTGAAATTTCCCCACTGTGGGACGATTGAATGATCTCTTATCTTAACACACACACACACATTTATCTCTCCCCCATCAGTTGGTCTATAGCAGGGGGTATCTCTCTTTTCTCCACATAAAAGGAGAGGTACTTATTTCTAAAACAGTATTAAATGCGTTATGAAAAATCTTTCCCGCGTCAAAAACACAATCTGTTCCATTTCTATTTTTCAAACTCAGTACACTCCTCAGACTGTTTTACAGTCAAATTACTTTCAAATCAGGTGCCTTCAATTATATCACAGCGTGTCAAATTAATTGTAATTTCCCACTTCTACCACTCTTCATCAAATGTACTGATATATTTTCCAGACTAAGGGCCAAATGAGTGAAAAGTAAAGCTAACAGCAATTCAAATCAATGTATCTTTTGCCTTAATGAATTTGCTCAAAGTAGCACATTCCAGTTTTCACTCATTTCTACCATAAATCTTAAATAACATTACATTTGCAAGAAACACCTATTTTAGCTTAATGACAAAAAGCCTAACCCTTATCATTCCTTAGCTTTGTTTTGACTATTTATCTCCTATTTTGACCTGGTATAGACCCTTTTTAGATCTCTAAGACATATATATTTCCTAATTTAATACTTTATGTTTGAGAAAGCCCAATTCCACCACTATTTGGGTTTGTTTTCAGTAACTAATAATGGCCTATGTTTTCTGTTACGTTTAGTGATGACGTGCCAAGACCCTGGGAATGTGGAGCACAGTCGTAAGGTGGTCACCGGAGCCCGCTTTACTGTGGGGTCAACCGTGCAGTTCTTCTGTAATAAAGGCTACATCATATCTGGCAACGGCCTGCTCACCTGCCACAACAGAGACACGGCCAAGCCTAAGTGGAGTGAGAGGCTTCCCAAATGTTCCCGTAAGTCTGGCCTTGAAATGCACGAAAAGGGGAATGCAAGAAAAAGCCAAGAAAAGACATTAGATAAATACAATTATACAGAAATAATATACCACTAAAGCATGATGCAGATGTATTAGAAATGTTCTCCCTTACGATTTCTTTCTAACGACCCTATTGTAAAACACTTCATTACCGATCACTAATTGCGCGTCTCTCTGATGAGCATTTTGTTAATAAATGACGTTGTAATTGAGAGCCGCAGTCTTGACGGTGGCGGCTCAGATGCAAACTAAAAAAACCCACAGCACAAAATGTCAGACTTCAATCGGTTTCATCCATTCTTCAACAATAGAGTTGCATTTTTAATAGCAGCGTGCACGAGATGCATCGATAGATAGATCAATACTTTATATATCCCATGAGAGGAAATCCCCATATTTGTTCTGTGTTGTGTGTAAATAATCATAATTAAGTTAGACAAGGTCAGCCTGAACTAACAGAGCACAAAAGCTTGCAGGTGGTTTGTTGTAGTCGATTCCGGTGATGGGTTTTCTATTGTTATAGCTCGATTATTTCACTGGATTTGTGTAAACAGCAGCAAACATAGAAGTATAAGTATAGATAATTAATTACAAGTATAAAAATGAAAGCTTTTGTACTATGTAATAAGTAGAATGAGTAGAAGATAAATCGGATTTTTGCTGACAAATAGACAAGTAATACATTTAATTTGAAGCATTGCCTTTAGCCCTATTTGCCCTGGATTAGTAATACCCCCCCCTGTGTTACTTGCAGTGCATTGGCGCAGGATTAGCAAAGTCTGTAAATGACTTTATTTTCTGAAGACACAGCCAGACGTGTCGTATCATCAGGTTGGAACAAGACTAGCACTGCATCCAAACTACCAAAGTCAGACCTAAGGACATTATAATTTGTGGAAATGTTTCATACAGGCAAAGTATGACCATAAACAAAACATGTGGAACTAAGCTGAAGTCTGAAGTGTAGCTAAGCGCAATCATGTAATTCAATTAGAAGCACGGCTAACCACTTTAAACCTGTTTTTGTGTCATGCCACCATTTGCATAGTAACCAAATGTAAGGGTTTAAAAGTAAAAGATTGTCAGAAATAAGTGGTAGAGTATAATACGAATATCAGAAAGAATACAGTACTTAAAATGTTTTATTAGTTCCTGGATACTTCTGACAAATACTGTGTAGACTAAAGTTCAAGAGAGATGAGTACTGCAGTGGGTTTTAACTTTGTCTGCTGCTCATCAGGATCAGCAGTGACAAAAAAATATAAAGAGAGGAGAAATTTAATGAAAAGGGATTTTTATTTTGCCTCGGATTTTTCTCCTCTCTTCATAAATACTGTTAGACTGTTTTTGTTCATGATTTTGTCACACGTAATGTCAATAACGGATATGGATTTGTCAAGCATGATAACGTAGACCCAATTTATTTTCATACACATATCTTAATCACTGTGGCCGTAAAGTCAAAACAAAAACAAAATCTGTTTTTGGCAGCGGAGAAATATGAGCCGTGCAGGAACCCTGGGGCTCCATCCACCAGTGTCCAGAGCGTGGAGAAGGCCTTCTATCAGGCTGGAGAGACGCTCACCTTCTCCTGCCACTCCGGTCATGAGATGCAGGGCCATGCCACCATCTACTGCATCCCGGGACACCCCTCACAGTGGAACAGCACGCCCCCTGCCTGCAAAGGTTAGCTATTACATCTGTACGTCTGAAATATGTCACCATTAATGTCATGTTAATGCTTTCTTCTTTTCTGAAGCGTTGACAAACCACTACATCGACGAACGTAGATTAGATGGTAAGTTATGTTTTTTCCCCTTTTCTTTATTCTTAAAACATAAAGCAAACATCTCATAGGTGTCATGTTTCCAAAAGGAGGAGGACCCAAAATACTTTCAATACTGCAAAAATAATATAATTTAATAACAAGAATCCAAAAATAAACTCAAACTTAGAATGACAAAACCAGACAGTAAAATAAGAATAAATACTACAAAATACATCAAAACACATGAGTGGGAACAAGTAAATGTGAAACACAAATGATATAGAAATGAAAAGACAAATATTGATACATTAATAAATAGAATAAAATGGAAAATAAAAACAAGTAGCGCTTGGAAATGTGTTTTTATAATCTTGTTTGATTAATACATATTTTCTAAATGACAGTGATAATTAATGATTTGGTTAAAGTGGATTTAGGTTCATCTTTTTTCCCTCAATAGAAAAATCATATGAAGATAATGTGCATTTATATTCAAAGGTTTCATGTTAAAATGACTATGAAGATAATGTAAATGTCTTTCTTTTCTTTTCTTTTTTTTATCACAGTTTCCAAAGTCGATTATGAACTAGAGGGCACCAACATAGCCCTGATTGTTTTCATACCCACTGCAGTCATCCTTGCGGCAGTACTAGCGATTTATGTCTACTTTGTAAAGTAAGTAAAAATCACGCTTCATTTCATTAGGCGTGAAATGATCCTGACATTATGAACTCCTTTTACTCAGGCTGCAAGGAAAAACCATTCGAATGCCATCATCATCATCATCGCCGCCGTATGACAACATGACGGAGGAGTCTGCGTTCGAGAACCCCATATATGACAGCGGAGTGAGTACAGACATCATGAACTTACAGGATGTGGACTCTCACAACACCAGCGTCCTGTCCTGATCCATCTCATCTGCCTGCTGTCATGCCGTCATTTCACCAGTGGAGGACGCCATTCATTTCACCTAATCTCCTTGTCCTAAACATCGTCAGGAAAGTCTTTTTTTCTGTGTTCTTTTTATGAATGTGAATGTTTACATATTAAACATCCACACAGTGATTTATGTTGGTGTTGGAATCGTATGTGTATTTATTTGATCCGTACAGATGAATCTATATTCTCTGTTTTAAAATGAACACCCTCTTTTGTCTCCTCTTGTCCTTCCAGCGCTGGCAGACCCGCTCTAGATACTAAATCAGATGACTTTAGAGAGCTTATGAGGTAAGACCTTCATACGATGTTGACAGCAACATTCAATCACTGTCAGCAAGGGTCAAGTCCTCTGTGCGTGTCAGATATGTTATTTTGGGATGTTTAGATGGATTATATCTCCCCTCATGTTATGGAGCATGTTGGGGGATATTCTAGCAATGTGTGCTCGTTTTTGCAATATCAAGAAAAGGGGGAACTATGCCTGTTTCTGCATGGGGACAGGACACCATCACTGGGACATATGTAATTCCCATATTACAGTGAAATGGAGCTTTTCCAGGCTGTCTGAGGAGTATAAATCCTTCTTCACGGTGTGTGGTGCAGCTCCCAGTTCACCTCGTGAATTCACAGCATGTTGTAGTCCACTCTACAACATGGTGGACAAGGAACCCCTTGAAAAAGAGATGACCCATCTCAATGGGGCTTTTCTTAGATAAATAATACATATTTGTATAATAAAGTCTGGAATGCACTGCCTTGCAAATATATTCTTATTTTAGTAAAGAGACATGCAATGCTTCCATGATCATTATTCTTTGTTCATGGCTTCTTTTGTGTTGTGACTTATCTCTTACTCGTTTGTTTTTCAGGATTGATTTACATTAGAGGCGTAACTGGGATCCTTCAAAAAGGGAATTGCTTTGCCTTTGGGACCCTCACTGCACTTTTACCTTTGTCCTTTTTTTGTTCCAAACTGTTTATTTGCATTTTCTTTATTTGTGCAATTTATTGTAAATAAGTCTTCACTGTCAAATATGTATACCTGTGGATCACCATGGTGATATTTTTATAATGTAAATTACTGAGGACCTTTGGTGATTGGATGTTTTTTTCAGTACTTTTTATCACTGAGCTTGGAGCAGTTTTAGATGGACAGATGATGCTTTGATTGAGACTTGATCGATAAGCCTGTCCCTTTTGTCATTTTGTTTTATGTTAGGGTCTGCTTTTTGTAAATAAACTGCCTGTCAAATATGAGTGCCTATCACAACTTATTTTAATCCAAGACATCATTTAATTGTAATTGACTGTTTATTTTATTTCTCTTTAGATGTTGTTCACACTTGTGTTATCTCATATTTAAGTTTGTCTTGAATAAAGAAGTGATATTTCCTACATAATTGTTATGTTGTTATGTTACATATTTGTTTATGGTTGGTGTGCAGACATACAGTTAAGCCTTGGATATATTTACAATTACCTCCCAAGAAAATCATATTACTCTCACAGATATAGAATGCATTTACACTCATTTCTACATCCTTTGGTGGGGGACATGGAAGGGGGGGGGGGGGGGGGGGGGCACTTGTTGGAGGGTGCATTCTTGGCAGAGTAAAAGTTTATACGTTGCATCGTGACAGGTAGACTCATGGGATGTGTGCACACAATTAAGTGGCAAATGTGAATGGACAATCTGAAAAAAATATCTATATTATATGGTCGCTGGATCACGTGGCACACCTTGCAGTAGACTAAGCTACAGCTGAGAGTTGAGCTGGAGTTGAGCCATCGGTAAATGACCAGTTATCATGTTTTCTCTGCCGATCTCTGTAGAAAAACAGAACTTGCCACATAAAATTGTTTCAAATAGTGTTCATTGACGTTGGTATTTAGGTATTTAGGATGATTGTTTGAGAACATGGTCGCAAAACACTAAAACACATAATTTAAAAAACAGAACCTTTTCTATGGAGCATCTTTTTTGTTTTGTCATTATATCCTCATGAAATATTCAAAACTAAATCGCAGCCACAGCACTGTAATTTTGCGACAAGCCGCTAGGTGTCAGTAGATCTATGACTATGGCCTGGTTCAAGCAATACGTTATAATCATGAAGAATCTATTGGTTATAATATATTTTCTCTTATCAGACCCCCTTACATTGCATTCTTGGAGAGCACCTGACTTGTTTTATATAAAATATGAATAAACATGTGAACTTTCATCACCGTGACATTTCATTTAATTATTACACATTTTATTGAATAGTGTTACTTCCACCTCTTTTGCTTGGTATGTTCTCAATCCTATAATTTATGGTTCTACAGTTGTCCTCTATTTTTTATTTTAATTGTTATTCCAATATTTTTCTTTATAGATTGACATGATAAAAAATATATCAAAACGGCTGACATTCAAAGTACTCTATCGAGAGCAATAAATACCCCCTACATATACATACATGTTATTAGCTATTAATCTGTCTGGTGTCAGAATGTCAATCAATATAAATAAATAGCATTCAAGTGGTATTTCACATTCGTTGAAACTAGAATTTATTCTGGAAACGACTCCTCGGCCCGTTGTGCTATCATTCTACCAGCAGATGGCAGCACAGCCCTATAACACCCCCCATAGTAAGTGTATGCGCCTCACTATCTTCAAATCTCTTCCATGGCTACATCACGGATCCAGGGCTACACCTCCAGCCATGCCTGGGCCAAATCCAGTCTGCAGGTTCTCAGTGGAAGTAAAACATAGCTCTAAATCCAGAGGGAAGAGGACATGGCAATTAAGCAGTAATACAGAGGACCATTACAAGTCCCACTCTGCATCAGTAGCCTCCAGCCAGGCGCTTTCCACTGAGCAGTGGGAGACGTATTAGCACGCAGTTAAAGTAATGACCCATTCACTTGGTGTTTGTATGTGCACTTGGTGGTTACTGACCAAAAATCATTGCAAGTTAATGGGAATCACAAATATATATATTCCTTTTTCCTCCTTCATATCTAGCTGTAGGTGTTGTTTGAGTGGACAAATCCAAATATCCTTGTCCTTTATGTGCAATTGAAATGGGATTCACCAGGCCTGATTCACCCAGAAGCTCCATTCATTTCCTATTACAATGTTTTTTGGTGGAGATTGACAGAGGCGCACTTCCTCCCTAAAGCACAGCCCCTATTAATCTGATGAATATGTTGTTTAGAGAGAAATGGAAATGGGGAAGAAGAAAAAAATACAGCAGCATCTCGCAAGACAAGAGAAAGAAGGCGTGTCGTTTTGCAGCCGCTGGAGCCAAGTGCAGAAGGAGGAGGTGGAGAGTCACAAGCGCAAGGTTAGTGCGCACTGGGTCATGCGTGGTCACTCGCAGGCACTGACCCACGCAGGCTTGACCTCTGCTCACACACATCTACAATGAAATGGAGCTTTTTCAGGGTGTCTGAAGAGCATAAATCCTTCTTCACTATGTATGCTGCAGCTCTCTCGGTTCACCTTGTGAATTTACAGCATGTTGTATAGTCCACATACAACATGGTGGACAATTTATTAAACAGTGGATGCATCGCAGTATAGTTGTTTTTGAAGATATTACGTCAAATGTGAACATGTTTTTTTATTGTTTATATTATTTTAATTCAGACACCCAAAGAAGCCGCACAAAACAGACAACAAAATACAAGTTAAGTAAAATATGTTGAATTAAAATCTTGTTTCACAACCAACACGTTTAGAAGTAGAAGCACAAATCTGATGGTCTGCCTGAATATGGAAGTACTCCAGAAAAACTGTATATTTAATGTACATTTTTGTCAACATAGTCCATCCCGAGATTAATCCTAACCCAAATACAGATATTTACGGAAACTGTACAGTCTGTAGAATGCAATGGTTAACATCTATGTGCATCTCAGTATGCTAAGCTATTTGGAACGGATGATGTAAAAACCAATACGATTCAAAGAGAGGTAGGTGTAGGGTCAGAGAGTGTTTGGGCCTGTATGTTGTGCTGTGTTAAGTAAGTAAGTATCTTTATTTATATACCGCCTTTCACAGACCAGAGTCAAAGCGGTTTACAATTCCAGGTCGCCAGCACAGGAGGTGCATGCCAGAACTATTGTGCATGTTTTTAGTGGTAGGGGAAACCGGAGTACCCAGAGGCAACCTACGCAGACACAGGGAGAACATGCAAACTCCACTCAGAAAGGCCCTGGTCCAACCGGATTTTCTTGCTGAGAGGCGAGAGTACCATCCACTCAGCCACCGTGGCTGTGTTGTGTGCAAGCGTGTTCTTTGACTAATCAATTTTCCAGCTTTGTGTCTTGTTTGTTTAAGTAAAAAATTAGCAAACCGATAACCATTACCAAACCTTTATGTGCTCCATGAGCATCTGAATCCAGAACACTTTCTATACAGCAATTTGGCTTGCCACAAACCTTTCCCTATCTTTTTTGAATGTAAAAATACATGAAAAATGTATTTATTTCTGTTATCATTTTAGTAATGTCACATACATTTTCTGTTTTATTATTTTTTACAGTAGTTTGACACAGATAATATTGTATGTATTCTGTTTATGGATTCTAATTGGATTGTTCCCCCCCAGAATGATATGAGAAAAGAACAGAGAATAACAACATAAAACAGCATATCTTATATTTTGTGAATGAGAACAAAGTTGCCAAGTCTCCACGATGCTATACAATTCAACGGGACACACCAATTCTTTCTTATTTGCTTTTTTTACTTACTTAATTTACATTGGCTTACGACTCGCAATAATCCCTGTTCTTGTTATGGGTAAAACAAAAAAAACCAAATCCACACATTTTGAAGGAGCATGCAAGACAGCCATTATATTTCACATATCATAGAGTTTGTAATTAATCCCTGAAAATCGGATTTAGTTAAAGGATAAAGCTGTGATTAGCGTCTTTTGATGTGCAGCCCTCAAAAATGCAAAATCATTTTTAATCTCTAACTCTCTCATTAAAGAGTTGGAGTCCCAGAGGTGCGTCTGTAATCACAAAAGACTTTTGGCGTGTTGGTGAAAAGAAATCGGCAGCTTCACAAAGACATCGTCACCAAACAGAGAGAGAACAGCTCTGTGCGGGAGAGAACCAAAACAAGAACATTCCAATACAACATAATGGTTAGTCTGTGGGTTTCTCTTATATAAATAAAAAAAACTATTGTAAAAAAAAAAAAACAGTCAGGACATGTTGAATTTCATCTCTTTAACTATATCATATCAGTTGAATTAGTATCAGAGCATTTTTTATTTTATTTTTTTACTTTTTAACAACCCAAACACACACAGGGGTTCTGCAATGCTATATTTGTTCATTCAAGAATTCAATATAATAAGAGAAACTTGGAAGACCTGCGATATATCTTTGAGAATTATTTTTTGGTTAAAAAGAAAACAACAAAACAGCTTCATTGTTTTTGCAGAATCCATCATGAAAATCTTAAACGCTCTTCTTTGACTTAAACTTTCATCTTTTCAGACTAGGATTTACCGTTGAACTGCATCAATACATCTGAAATTTGATGTGAAACAGACAAAAGGAGATAGATAGATAACTTTATAGGAGATAGAGAACTACTTAAATCGATAACAGAAATAGATGAAAACAAAAAGATGTAAGAAACATGTAGGGAAATGATTGTGGGAAGGTTTCTGCATGTAGGAATGTGTAGAATGGGCTGAAATGTTAATATATATATGTTCTATGTAGTGTCATTCTTTGAGAACTGTGCTGCTGAATTGTTTTGTTATTAGGGCTGTAACAAGTTCATCGATAATTAAACTAATTTAGTAATCGATTAATCATTTGTTGGACCGTCCATAGACTGAAACATGCTGAGAAGAGGATTCATGACTCGAGACGGTTACAATTGTTTGCAAAGTATTCAGAGTCAAACAACCCGATGTAACAAGTGATCTCTATGAAGATGCTCTCCCTGGGCATCAAAGTCTTTATGCAAAATGTAATCTCATCAGTGAGTTTCAGTCGGCTGCACACTTTGACCAATTCCCTTGTTTTAGTACCTGTTTTATTTCTATACTCAGATTCCATTGACATTTTTGGGTCCAAAAAAACCCCCACATGATTTACTTCAAAGAAAACAAAAAATCAATTACAATATAACACTTGCCATAGTTGTGCAGACCTAATTTATTCATTTATTTATTTATTTCAAACATATACTAAATATACATAAAAAAAAAAAAAATGGTTTGAAAAGGGATTGGACAAAGCAAAAAGCTAATCCAATCTCCTCCCAGCCATTTAGGCACATTTTATATTATAAAATTGAACAAAACACACACACACATTCATGAACACCAATGGCAAGAGACACATGACCTTGGCCCAAAACACTCTCCGGCCCCACACCTCTTTCTCCTGTCGCCCACTTCAGATCTGCATATGGGCGACATGACAGTGTATACAGTTCTCCACACAACGACATTATCCCAGTGTCTCTGCGGCAGGTACAGTCCCCCTCAGCGCTCATGTGGAGGGGCCAGAGCGAATGAACCGCGTCGACGATAATGCAGCATGACACCTCTGAAATGAATCCCCGGTTACCATGGAGAAGAAGCAACTTGGGACCGTCTCCGGGGTGCTTCAAATAAAGCCCGCTGTAAGTGATGTTTGATTAGTATTTGGATCATGTTCGCCGCTTGTGCCGGTGTCACGGATCTGTCCATGCACGGCTGAGAGTGTCTCCTATATTATTATAGTTCACAGCCTGTTTTCAACCGTCGGTGAAAGAGTGAGTGAATGTTAATTGGATTCAGCCGATCCCAGTCAATCGGATGTGTACATTTGCAGGAGTCATTTCAATCCGCTTTTAAGCACTGAATGTAATTGGCGCTTGACAAATATTGAGGCAGGGGAAAGAGCAAACACCTCTGTACAACAGCAGAGTCCTGAACGCCACCAGTTTCCTGTTTTTACGCCATTTGTTTGTCAAACTTCAACATTGGCATTTTTGTATTTACATTGTAAGAGGTTAATGATGCATAATGATTACACCCAAAACACAAAGCCTTAGAGGGAAAGCTTCTGTAAACTGTAAACAACACTTTGGTATAAAGATTCCACACGAAGAAGCGTCTCTCTTTTTTGTTGCCTGTTTATCTACAGTTTAAAGCATCAGTCACACATATCAACATGGAAAGACTTTAAAATATATTTATTGACTTGTTGTGCACGAAAATGTTGCATGTGGCTTCGCTATAGCTCCAGTTCCACTTAATTAAAGGTGCAGTAAGCGATTTTGTTAGCTTAGCCGTAGCACCAACTCGAAACCCCTCCCCCCTCCCGTCTCCTCTCCACCAAACCAAACATCCAACATTTTCTTTTCTCTCTCACAGCAGGGAGAGTGGGCGGCAAACGTGAAATTTGCATTTTCTGTTCAGCCCTTTTAGGTTTTAGAAAATAATCTGATAACTTCGATAGGAAGAGGGTGAAGGAAAAGGGTAAACACATCCCATTGGTTCGTTGGGGATGAACGAATCCCATTGGTTTACTTTAATCGGTCCACTCCAAAATATTTTTTGGGGAATTTTTGGAGACTATAAACATCTGGTCATTTCCATTACTCTTTGAAAACACATGATATCTTGACTACTTTCAGGGTTTAGGGACGTTTTCCCACAATCTTTAAAAAAATGCGTCTGGAAAAAAAATCACTGACTGCATCTTTAAGGTCAAACAAAGCGTTTTTGTCTGACTTTGTGTCAATTGTATTCAGATATGTGATTACCCATGGCCATTACAGTGTATTTATTTGAAATACAAATGATACATTATTTTGAGGTAGGATAAAGTGATCTGATTGCTACATGGTTTGAAACAAGATTGCTCAAAATGAAGATATAATTGTTTGGACAGTGACCGTTCATTTTGAGAACTATTACATTTGTAAATAAAAGAAAGTACGTGGAATATGTCTTGTTGGCTCTCCTGCTATTATGACTAAACCTAAGAATGTAAGATGTTCTTTTTGAAATGCTTGCAGAGGCTGTCCGTCCCATGTCGCATGTCGTGAGTGTGACAGTGACAGATTACCTCAGCGCTGCTTAAAGGTGACTGCCTCGCTCCTGTTCCCTAAAGTGTTGCGTCACTGTGTTCCATCATGACACACTGGCCGCACCACATCATTATAACCTACAGTATATGGTCATACAAAAGTGTGATATAAAGGACCAGGGAAATGGAATGAACTAACCAGAGTGAAAGAGCAGTAGATCGGAGTCGCACACGCTGGGGGCTGGGAGGCTGAACTCAGGGATATTCATCATTATTGGTTCTCCTCGCGTCCCTTGGTCAAGCTGACATGCAGCCTAACATTGACATTAATCATAATTTCTTCATAATGGATCCCAGCACCACCACCAGGAGAAACACGAGCGCACATTATGGATTTGTACATTTTTCTTTCTTTTATATATATTTTCCTTTTTACACCATACATTGAAGTAAAGTCATGTGTACTGTATATCTGTGATGTAGTTTGCTTTTCTTTCTGCCAGATGCTGCACGTTCATGGCTTTGACTTGTATCAAAAGAAAGTAAGTACAGAAAGCGCATTTATTTGTATAGCTCAATTTATAGGTAATCATAGTGTTTTACAAGACATATTTATTATGTGTTTATTTGATTGGGACAGAACAGGAAGCATTATTACGGGAACCGATGTTATGTTCACAGGCCGTAGAGCCTTTGCAGACCTGGTCCCTAAGACATTTATTCATATTCCTGTTGTATGCACAGTCAAAATTACTGTATTTATCGTTAACATTGTCAGAGTTTGGAGCTTGTCTCACTTCTCATTTTGATATTATACCCCTTGATTTCAAACACGTATTAATTGCCTAATTTTATTTTATTTATAAAGGCATTTTTCTGGTTAAGCAGGGTCGGGTACTGCAGAGTTCAGATCCCATTGTTCACTGTAACTTTAATCATGACATTGAGATATAAGAAATGCAGTGCTCTACTTTATATGTGTAACTTTATATACCATTAGATTTAGTTAATATCACCACCGTTGGCACACACTGTGTTATAACAGACCAGAGTGTGTTTGTTTTTTTAATTCAGTCATAGAAGAAAACATGCCCCCAAAATTAACTCGTACCTGAATCATTAAATGTCATGAATATTGCATTTGTTATAATTAAACATTAAAAATGGATGGTTTCTGTAATAAGTTAACCAGCAGTCACAGGATCTTACATTGTAAGTGTCTTGATTAATCACTTAGCAGCAAATGTATTTTCAAATTATAATATAATTATTCATCTTATGTTTCAGTTGTAGATGGTGATAAATGGAAGCGGCTGAAGGGACATTACTGAAAGACTGGTCTATGCTTTTAAAACATTAAAACCAATAGTACATTCTCTAAAGACACAAGGCAAATGTGTTTTAAGTTACATTACATTTGGTCTACTCAATTTGATTGTTAATAACCAATAAAATGCCACATATTCAGTGTTAAGATCAGTATCAGTGCTGTATGTTTGGTTTCATTGTTATTATGCATCAGCTTAAGACGTTTGCTTTTACACATTTGACCAATTGAAAACTGTGACATAAGTCTTTGTTGAATGACAGAGAAGCGTGTGGTCAGTCTGTACTGATCAGGGTCATGTTGAGTCTGACCACTCCACTTCCATTAGTGCAGCAGTGAGCAGTCTGCCATCATGTTAACTGTGAGCACCTCTCACCACTGTCTAATTGTTGTAATGGGACCAATCTGACAGAGAATGCAGAGAATGAAGTGTGCTTCTCTTTATTGTGCTCTGACATGAGACCTCAGACTACGATGGGTACAGCCACTCCCAGTATCGAGTTCCAAATGGTTCCAATGGGCGGAAGTCAAAGGCCTTTAAAACATCTGTAAATGCACATATTCACTTTTATGTACAGTGGCAACAGCTTAACAACACAAGAAAGTGCATGGCCACCGCTTTGAAAAAAGGAGAACAGATAGGAAGATAAGTGGACCTGTTAAAGGAAAATGTCAGAGTAACCAAAGAATGGGAGACGGCGTAATGGTTTGGTAATGGTTTGGTGTTATTATGGTGGGATTGTTGTGACTGAGGTCGCTCCTTTGTGCACTTTTAGTCCACACACAAAACCTCTTCGACCTCTAATGGCAGTTTATCCACAAGCGACATCAATTTCTCTAAGTGCCACAATCACACCACTTATTTGTAGAGTTTATTAAAAGGGAACTGTTCTATCTCTCATTAGAAACTGTGCCAGAGCAGTTACATGTGCAACCTCTGACATACTGAAAACAAATAAGTGAACATCAATAAGTTAATGTTACTGTGTATCATTTTGATTATTACAGAGAATTTAACATTATGGCAACTTTACTCCTATTTTAATCTGGTTTACTTTGCATCACATTTGCATTAAAAAAACTAACTCCCAACGTAAATATTATAATAAAGCTGTTTATTTTTATTTTCACTTATTGATATCAAGTAGAATAGCATTAAATCACAATTCCATGCCAAGACCAGGCCTACCAGAGAATGTTCTTCTCCGCTGCTCAGAAGAAATGAAGTGAGCTAAGACAAACTTCCATTAATGTGAAATATATTGTTTTAATGGTTTATGGATAATGATCTATGTACAAATTCTGTGCATTGGCTCATTTGTGTTTCAGGACCTGTGAATACAAAAGATAGATTAGGGTTGATGAAATTCAAACAATTAGCCATTTTATTTGACTGGTAATTGGATTTTAAAGACACAGGGCATTAATTTTACAGATATGTAGGATTCATTATAGCCGCAAAAGAGTCGACATAGATCAAGCTTTTTTCAGATCCAACAAAGACTGAACTAACTTATTGTATTAACAGCTGTATGTAGGCACTTCTCCAAATGTTTTTCACTCAGGCCATATTGGAAGAGATCAGTTAGGGCTGGGAATTGTGGGAAAAAAAGAGATCGAACCAGAGTGGATATTGTATTCTGTATTACGGGCGGCACGTGGCTGAGTAGATAGCACTCTCGCCTCTCAGCAAGAAGGTTCTGGGTTTGAATCTCGGTCGGAACAGGGGAGTTTGCATGTTCTCCCCGTGTCTGCGTAGGTTTTCCTTCGGGTACCACTAAAAACATGTGCAATAGTTCAGGGTCAATGAGTGTGTGTTTGTGAGTGCGAATGTGGGACAGCGGATGCAAATTAGCCCAAAGCTACAATCCGGAGTGATGTGTTCATTAACATGTACTGTCCCAACCAAATAAACAATAAATAAATATTGCTGTATGTGCAAAGTAAAAAAAAAAAAGAGTATCTCGGAAGATAAATAGCTTTGATATCAGAATCAATGTATTGCCATTTGCAGAAAAAAACTAAATTGGAATACAAACAGGAGACACCGGTGGCACCAACACCACAAAGCACACACACACAGACAAAAAGAATAAAAATAGCGAGACAAGACACATATAAAACTCCTAAAAGCACTCTGTCAAATATACTCTGATATACTCTGTCAAATTATTCATGCAGTGCTCAGAGGAGTAGCTTTTGGACCCTGGAACAGAATTTGGACACCTCTGGATATTCAATAGTCTTGTTTTAATATAAGATAGACCTTTATTTGTTCCACAGTGGGGAAATTTCAATGTCAACGTTGCGCACATTACAGCAGAATCTAAGACAGTAGGAATAAGAACACTCAGATTGCACACATTAAACACAATCTATCATTATAAAATATAATAGAATAAAATACTAAAGTAATAAGACAACAAAAAAATAAAGACAAATAAATTAAAGTAAATAATGGAGCTGTAATTGCACTTGGTTCAAAGATAGTACACTAGTGGAGTGTACACTAGGGTTAGCAGGAGGTATTTGCAGATTTACAGGTATTTACAATATATAATACTTATATTGTACATGATAGTGCAGGTGATATAATGTGAACACAATCGCAGACCCGGTGCCTCAGAGCAGAATCAGGGCTCCTCTGAAGCATGTAACAGCCATGACGAGCGAGGGGCCTTTGTGCACCTCCTTGATCCCTCCTTCCCCTGGTCTTGGCTCCCCTCCTCCCCTATGACAGCATGATTAGCCCAGAGCCCCCTGTCCTCCTCTCACAGACCTGGACGTCCTAATGCGGATTAGTCCACAAGTTAACAATGAATGTAAACGTCCTCCAGGAGCCGCTAATTCTATTCTGCTCAGTGTCAGTCCTTTCACAGACCATGTTTGAACACAACACATAATCCTCTTACATATCAAAGGTGGACAAATCATATTCATTTAAACATTGCCTTGGCAGCCAGGGGACATATTATGAGCTCAACACAAAGCTATGAATCTGCCATCTGCACCCAGGTCACCTGCCACGGAGACTCCAGTGCACGTCCAAATGCGATGGAGGAGTCTCATGCAACTTGGCCTTTTCCTTACAGATCTGTATTGTGAAAAAAACACACACACAAAAACGCTGTTTGAACGTTGTTTGAATACTTAATGCATCGCTTTTATAAAGAACTTTTTTGGACACTCAAAGTCGCTTTACCTGTCATTATTCTTTCACACCACACACGGTCATGATACTATAGGCAACCAGTATGTGCCATCGGTCCCTCCGACCACCACCAACCATTCACACACACACCAGACTCATTCTAGGAAATGTGGGTGAATGTGCCTACAGACACAACAACCCGACTGTGGCACCTGGTGTTCCCAGAGGTCTTCAATAGCAGTACTAACCGGGCGCTGTCCTGCTTAGGTCTCACGGATGGATCTGGCTTTCACATGCAGGTATATCTGCCCCTGTGCTCCTGTCCCCTTCTTGATGGTCCTTTGTCAGTGTCTGTCCTGTTAATGGTTCTTTTGGGATTTTTGAGTTTATTTCTTCCTTGGACTTCAAACATAATTTTTTGCATTTCTGCATTGGGTCCTTCCTTCATTACACCACATGACACGTCCTGGTGAGCACTGCGTAAGAGCAGCTCCTCTCCAGTGTAATGGTGCTGCTGTGGCCTCTGGAGCAGATAGAATACATACACAGTGTGACATGAATTAGCCCCAGATCGACTGATACCTCTGCCCTGGGGATCACTGCCGCTCCACTCTCCTTCTGCACGGCTGAATGTGTTTTCTATTCTCCCTCAGCTCGTCCTTGTCAGAGGAAAGTCAGGCCTCTGTTTGTGTGATGGACAGGTGCTGGCCACGTCTGATGGAGCCATTTCAACACCAACGCACTCAACTGAGAAATGTCACCCAAGAACACGAGAGCTGGCAGGTTTCTACACACATGCAGGTGCTTCCAATTCAGACCACAACACATTCATTGTATGTGGGTTTTTACCAGTGGGGGCGGTTCCCGGCTCAAAGGTCCATGAGCACGTGCCCTGACATGCTTGTATGTGCTCCTTGCCAGTGATGTTGTACCCGGAAACAGAATTATCCACTGAATTCTGATGACAACTTCTTTCCTTTCAAAAACGGCTTTATAGCTTGGTCCAAAAGTCGGCTCTTGGCTCAATGCTACGTTCCAGATGCGTGTCACTGGGGAGGATATTTTTTGGACTGGCCTCGTTTAGCTGCTGTGGGTAAACTGTTGTTAAATGAATGGCGCTCGTGCCTTCTAACGCATGCACACACAAGTATATTCACATTTTCCTGTGGGAGGGGCCACTCGCAGCCATTTTAAAATATTTTAAATTGTTTTATTTAACCTTTATATAACGAGGAAAGTCTCATTGAGATTAAGAACCTCTTTTTCAAGGAAGTCCTGGACAAGAGGAAGCAAAAGTCACACATGATTTTATGAAATTATAGAGTAGAAAAAGTTATGTCAAATCTTGAAACAGAGCTTTTTAGAAATACAAAAATGTAACACACATGCCATGTAGTAGATGCATCAGCCTGGACATGGGTAAATGAGATATGGAACAACAACATTTTAGGCCACTTTCGGTTTACTCATTTATTTCAATACAGTTCCAGAATAATTACTACAGTTTTTCCCTAAAAATCCTAATTGGACTAACAGGTTGAGATTTTGTTCAGTTGAAATTGCAGATACAGGGTTAGAAACATCCAGTACATAGAAAAGATAAGCTTGATTGGTCCCTCAGTTTCAGAACACATTTCAGGGTAAATACTTTAAAATGTTGGGATCCTTTGAGTGTATTCATTATTAGGAGAGCATTCATAGCTGATTGTTCTGTGTTTGCTTTTGGCACATGTGTAAACTAAAGATAAGCCTGCGATGCCTGTCCCACCAAAACGAACAGAAGCGAGCTGTTATTTTTGAGCTTCATTTGATTTGTGAAAAATCTAATATGGAAGCCTTAATTAGACAAAGGACTGCTGTTGTTACACATCGCTTGCACACATCCCCTGACAGCCAAGTGAGCCGCCATGAAAGCAATGAATCAACTTGTTTTGTTCTGACTCTGAGGATCCAAAAGAAAAGAGCAACAAATAAGAGAGATCAATAGTGAACAAAACACTTCAGACTCAGCTCTGAAGCTCTGCCATGACCCTGGAATGACCATATTCCTGTATTGTTCCCTCATCTCCAGTGTATAGGGCATGCATTGATTTTCCCTCACTTTGATAGCACTCTTTGTTTAGCTGCTGCATGCTTTTTCTCTTAAACACAACACATTTCTCTGTCTGTGCTGCTTACGAAACCGAGAGTGCCGCGTCAACAATACATACTCTATCGCTTTCTCATGTATAAATAAGTTAAAAGGTACATGTCGATTTAAAAACAACAGCATGAGAAAGAAATCAGTGAATTCTGACTGCTGGCACTCCTGACTTTTCCCAATCCTCAAAGGACCCCAGCAGGAGTCAGGGGTTAGCACTGATCAATGAGCTGCAAACAGGTTTATTGACATGACAAACTTACATCTGCATTGTCGCGCATCTCTGGACAAACACAGGCATTGGCAGCGAGGGACAACAAGTAGTGATAGTTGTGTTAAGATTTCCAGTGCGATTAGCGCGGACTGCAGTGTCTCATGGGCCGCCGATACCGCACCGGGTCTCGGGAGTTTTAAGTCTGGTGAGGAGTGATAGTGAGGTGTATTGGCTTGAGTCTGAGATTGTATCAAAAATAACTTGTTTTGTCAATTATGCTCTGTGTCTAGGCGTTAGCATTTTTTTAATTCATGGGTACATCTGATAGCCATTGTCACATTTTATATATCACTGCTAACTGTAAGGTCTTGCACCTTATTGGACTGTATTTTTATATGTATGCTGGTAACTTGATCTGTATCTTAATATGTATCTTAATAACTTTCACTTTTATCAAACTGAATCGTAAGCAAAAATGTAAGTTAGTAACCTATACTTTTTATTTGAACTGTATGTTAGTACACAAGTGTCATGATTGTATTGTCAAGGACTACGTATGGTGCTCAATCTGGTGCAGCCATCTTTTTAATGCAACTGCACATTGTCCTAAATAAATTAATCTTGAACTTAGATATATTGTTATGCACATACCTTCAAATGTCTCCTATTGTGTTATGCTTTGTTGTCATAAAAATGTGTCTGCCCCCAGCCTAACAATAGCCTCTAAAGAGATTAAACAACTCTTCCTGAGGCTGCACCCCCGCAAAGCTCCTGGCCCGGACCACGTGTCTCCGGCCACTCTGAGACACTGCGCCAGTGAGCTTACTCCTGTGTTCACGGACATTTTCAACACCTCTCTGCAGTCCTGCCATGTCCCGGCCTGCTTCAAATCCTCCATCATTGTCCCCGTCCCGAAGAAGCCCAGGATCACAGGACTCAATGACTACAGACCTGTAGCACTTACGTCTGTCGTCATGAAGTCATTTGAACGCCTGGTCCTCTCCCATCTCAAGTCCCTCACCTCCCCCCTCCTGGACCCCCTGCAGTTCGCCTACAGAGCCAACAGATCTGTAGACGACGCCATTAACCTGGCCCTCCACCACATCCTACAGCACCTGGACTCCCCGGGGACCTACGCCAGGGTCCTGTTCGTGGACTTCAGCTCTGCCTTCAACACAATCCTGCCATCCCTGCTCCAGGACAAGCTCTCCCAGCTCAACGTGCCCGATTCCACCTGCAGGTGGATCACTGACTTCCTGACGGACAGGAAGCAGCGAGTGCGTCTGGGGAAGAATGTCTCGGACTCTCGGATTATAAATACAGGAGCCCCACAGGGCTGTGTTCTTTCTCCCCTGCTCTTCTCCCTGTACACCAACCACTGCACCTCCAGCCACAACTCCGTGAAGCTGATCAAGTTCGCGGACGACACCACCCTCATTGGACTCATCTCCAACAACGATGAGTCCGCCTACAGGAGGGAGGTGGACCGGCTGGTGTCCTGGTGCAGTGGTAACAACCTGGAGCTGAACGCCCAGAAGACAGTGGAGATGATTGTGGACTTCAGGAAGAGCACTGTCCCCCCACCCCCACCCTCCGTGATGGACTCCCCCATCACCTCTGTGGAGTCCTTCCGTTTCCTGGGCACCACCATCACCCAGGACCTCAAGTGGGAGCCGACCATCAGCTCCCTCATCAAGAAGGCCCAGCAGAGGATGTACTTCCTGCGGCAGCTCAGGAAAGCCAAGCTGCCTGCACAGATGTTGGTGCAGTTCTACACGGCCATCATCGAGTCCATCCTCACCTCCTCCGTCACCGTGTGGTTCGCTGGAGCCACAGTCAGGGACAAACAGAGACTACAGCGCATTGTGCGCTCTGCAGAGGAAGTGATCGGCCGCAGCCTTCCATCGCTGCAGGACCTGTACGTCGCCCGAGCTCGAGGCCGGGCTGGTCGTATCACAGCCGACCCCTCTCACCCTGCACATGGACTATTCCAACCACTCCCCTCAGGCAGGAGGCTGCGGTCCATCAGGACTAGAACCTCCCGCCACAAGAACAGTTTCTTCCCCTCTGCTGTTGGACTCTTGAACACTTCTTAACCTGTCCCCCCGCCCTTTATAAAGTCACTTTACTGCCCATCATACGTCACTTTACTTCACTGTACTGCTGTCACCTTACATTGTGTGCACCATGTGCACTTGTATACTGTAAATAGTAACTCTAACTCTATTTTAAATTTAAATTTATTCTTTAGAAGTGTTTTTTATTCTTATTTTTATTATCTCTTTTTGACTGTTGCACTGAGCCAAAGCAATTTCCAAGTCTGTGACCTCCTGTTACTTACGTGGCAATAAAAATGATTCTGATTCTGATTCTGATTCTGATAAGCTCCCTTGTTCTACTACTTACACCTCTTTTGTTGTCCTGGACCATGAAAGAATTGTGTACAAAATAAATATGACCCCTCTCTGCTTAATTTGCACTTCCCGGATACTGTATGTAGTGTACATAAATGGAACCTCGTAGTTGTTTTATATACACATGTTATGTAAATGACATATGGTTTTAAGAGTTGTGTTGGTGTCTCCAGCCTTCTGTCGATGCATACGGTGCTGGAGGGGAGGCTGGAGACTGCAGGAGGGTTGAAGGAGAATGGAGAGGGTGCTATACAAGTGTTTTGTTATGAGCATATGTCTAAGTCAAGAGGCATTAAGAGCGGGGCCTGGCGCACCCTCAGACCTGTGATCAGCTGTTCATGGTGTCAGTCGATTAGCACTTTCCTCTTTACATTCTCCTGACTGTCACCACCCACTGCCTCAAGCTGCACAACAGAGCCTGCAATGTGCCTCGTATAAACCATATACTGATAATAATTAATGATAACAAATAGAGCCGCAAGCAGCGATGAACGTTCTTTGCAAAACTGCCCCACACAACCGTAGGAACAGGAATGCTAACACTCGGCTACAGCTATTTGTGAGCCGCTAACGCACCCTTAACCTCACAGTTTCATGTTTACATTTCACTTGTTTTCACGATGAATTTGTCAATCGTATTAACTGTACTACGTTCATTCATGTAGACCAGGCATTACTTTTTGGGTAAAAGTATAAGCAATACACCTGTTAGTATTAGATATGGCCTACGTGCAGGACTCTACAAGAACTCTGATTATTTTGACTATGATGTGACTGTCTCTGTGTGACACGTACGTCTTTCGATGTGTGACGTGACAATGACTATATAAACTGTGTACTGCCTTTATTCTGTCTGAGAGAAAGAAACAATGGAAACCACTGGAACTTGAGAGAAACTTAATAAACTTCCAGAGTTTGGCGCACCACGATCCGTCTCTGTCTGCTTCATTCCTGACACACCCTGTGGGCTTGGCCAATAAGGCTCAGACACCCCAGGTTCAGAGCATGGTCCTATACGGGAAGGGCAGGAGGCGTGTGGAGGGAGGGATATGCAACGCAATATGCAAGATCTTTGAGACACAGCATTGTCCAGGTTAAAAAGTATTCAAAAAGTGCCTCCAGGCTAATCAATGAGCACTCGCATGTCAGGGGGCAGGTTGTTCCAGAGTCTGGGTTCAGCAACCGAGAAGTTCCGGTCACCCCAGTGTTTGGACCTGGCCCTTGGTACTGCCAGAGGGAGCTGAGTTGAGGACCTCAATGTTCTGCCTGTGTCATGAATAGTAGAAAGTTCGGACAAGTACGAGACCATTGAGGGCTTTATCCCAATCCAAACAAAAAATATTTAGCCGACATAGGTTTGATGCATTCAATACAAGGGAAATATTTGTTGCATTAGTGTTTATTTAAATCAGAAACCACTGTATGCACTCATCCATACATTAATGAACATTAACAGTTTTTGATCATCAATGTTTCTCCCACTGTCAGAGGCGTCTAGAGCCAAACTCTGACTGCACTCTTTGTGTTGCCTCAAAACATCACTTCTCTCTGCGATATTGGCTTTTCCTCCTTGATGACATGGCATATTATCCTCTGGTGGAAACAGGAGAATTCCCCCATGCATGATCAATGGATAACTGATGGAATGAGGTTTTTGCATCAATTGAAAAAAAGGATGTTTCATGGAAGACGTTTCTGAAATACTGAGAACATTCCGGCAAAGGAATATCCGTCACTTTTATTTTCCGCGTTTTATTTTAATTACATTGTGTTGTTGTTTCATATAGATTTTTTCTATTTTTCATTGTCTTGATTGCTGCTATAACAAAATCAAGCATCAAAAAGCATACAAGTAGAGTTTTATAGCAATCTCATTAAAACACGCCGCATTTAACAACATAAACCACAACATAAACATAAAGACACAATTGGAGAATGAGTTTGACGAAGCAGAAGCTTATTTGACCCCAACCCCTCTCACTCATTCAACACAAAACACACCCACACCCACACACATGCTCTTTTTGCATTTTAATGTAATTGTTGGGATTTTATTTTCAAAAATTAAAAAAATATAAAAAATTGACAAAAATATGTATTTTATTTTATTTAATCTTTATTTAACCAGGAAAAAAAAAACTCTTTTTCAAGGGAGTTCTGGCCAAGAGGCAGCAAAGTTACACATAAACACAACAGATATAATTAGATTAAAAAGGACAGGTACAGTATACAGACGACACCCATCAAGTAAAACAATTACAGGTAATTGAGGCCGTCTCGAAAACTTGTTTTTAAGTAAAAGCACTCAAGGACAAAAGCTCGGTCAGCTTCCAGTCTCGCTGGAAATAGACCTGTAGACTTCAGTCTAATAAAACCTTTCTACCCCCTACCAGCTTAGTTTCTTTTTGCATTTTCATGTACTTGTTGGGGTTTGATTTTTGATAATATTCTACACCTTGCTGTTTGAGAATCTTAAATACAACTCTATAAAAGAATCCACTGTATCGGTCTTGTTGAACATAGTACAATAACATAGCTTGTACATTACATTGTGTCTCCCTGTTGCCTTCACACAGACGTCCTGAGCACCGCTGTCCCCTGGGAGCCTCCCGTCGCGCCTGGTCGCACAGCGCAGACACGTCACATTGTCACAGGAAACATATACGAGCCCCGTGCAGAACCCAGGTGTGCCGAGGAAAACTGTTAAATTTGGTCATTACTCTTGTAATTGTGCTTTTATGGTTCGTTCACACAGGGTCACATGTGCGAGGGCCGGAGAGAGAGCCGGGGTGAAAAGTCTCAGGAGTTGCCGAGTTTATGATCGTCTTTTAGTTTGAGTTAATGCTTGATTTTACCACGAGGTGAAAATATAAAAGTATAGAAAGCGTCAAAAACAATTTACAGCCGTGTCAGGAAAAATGCAAAGTGTTTTTTGTTGTTTTGGAGCAACATATGCAGAGGAGTGTTGATGCCTGTGTGAGACTGGAGCGGGGGCCAGGGGACGGGACACGCCTCCTAACGGCTTTTTGATGCAGATAAATGGCTTACAGATGGCTCTCTCAATGCATTAAAAAAGAGGTAAATATGCCAGGGGGAACGTCAATATGGGGCTGTCCGACTGCCACACTCCATGACACAAACGACAATTAACAATTCTATTCCTAATTGAAAATACAGGTCAATAACTGCTGTATCATGGACCTGATGCGTTTGAGTTTGTCTTAAATTTCCTGATGATACTTTGAAAAACATAGCGTTAAAGGTAAAAACATTGATATTGTCACCGCATTAAAGTAAAAATATATTGATATTGTCATGTCTTTTTAAAGTATGTGGAGTTGATGTCACTTTCGGTTACATGTCAGAAGAAATAGACTGTTTTTGGGCCATAAGATATTGATTCATGAAAGAGCACTTACAGCCAAACTTAAAGAGTGTACACTTTATATCATATGATTGTTGTTGCACTGTTCCTGACTTGTCTATGTATTTTTTGTGTATAGTCAAGTGTGAAAGCTTAGACACTATTTATTTGATTTTTAATTCATATTTTATAAATGTGAATAAAGGAAACTCTACATTATTATCTAAAAGGCATGAAGTAACAGATGAGAAACTTAAATCATGTCTTAAACTATATTTGTTTTACAGTTTTTCAATACATTATAACAAACAGGGTAACTAGTTTGGACACCCTGCAGAGTTAATACCTTTCTTTATACCAATGATCACAGCCTGGGTATTAAACATATGACTTATAAGATATTGATGTAAATATTAAAATACAATAATCAAATGATGATAAAATAGACAAAATAAGACAAAATTGTACCTATAAACTTTAGTCTAATGAAACCTTTCTGCCCCGACTAGCTTAATTTATCGCACTGATCAGAATGAGTTTGACACCCTGCTGTACGCACTTGTAGGCAGCACTCTTTTAAGTCTGTCTCCTCTGTAGAAAATCCCTGAAGAAGACTGTGGTCGAAAAGTGTTGGTGTTTATGTAAATGACAAAGGACTTTTAATTTTCCAGTGTGCCTCAGATTCTGCCTCCTTTTTACAGGTCCTTCGTCTTTACAACAGGGTTCCAGTTCTTCTGACTTTGTGGCTGTCTTACACAAGTAGATCCTTTAAGGTCCATACACAGATTATGCTTATGTCACAAGACAATGAAGGCCATCGCAGAACCTCCATGTAATTCATTATGCTTATGATCTTTTTACTGCCATTTTTTGTGTGAAATTTGCAACATTCAGACTTGATTGTTTTAGTGAGAAGAAGCACTTGCTTGTCGAACTCTTCTGACTTGCGTTTTTGCAACTCAATTCAATTCAATGTATTCTTGTATAGCCCTAAATCACAACATAAGTTATCTCGGAGGACTTTACACAACCGTTAAATTCGCCAAAACAAATCAGAGAATCAACAATTCAAACACAAGATAAAGAACAGAAAACACATTGGTACATGGTCCAAAAACTGTCTTTTCTGATTTGTTTTTTAGATCTTCCTCACTTTTGTTTAATCCTTAATTCTTCCTGATATTTGTTAAGTATGTGCTACATGGGCCTCAAGCATTTTCAGTCATTCCAGATTGCGAGTCAGGTACCCCAGCTTGAATACTGTGAGAAATGAAGACAGATAGCAGCGATCTTAGGCACTCAGGACACTTTTTTTCATAGTTTTTTCCAGATTGAACAAAGTAAGGAAAAGCTGTGTGCATAAGAACAGAGACGTCATCACTTGAGATATTAATGACTCAGGCTTTAGACATTGGTTAGCAATGTGGGTCAGAACAAATACCTTTATATCACAAAGGTATTCCACAATACCTTTGTGATATAATTTAGTCTGCAAAAACAGATGAAAAATAAGTCCAAAATTGCTCAAATTTGGTCAAATGTCAGGCCAAATTATCTATACAAGAAATGTCTCCCTTGGAATGAGATAATAAAGCAACAGTTCTTGAAATAAGACTAGATCCTTGTCCCATTGTTTTATGACAGTCAGAATGTACTCAAATCAAGATAAAAAACATTTGATTCAAGCATTTATTACCTCATATTTTATTGTTTTATTTGCAGTATAGTCTCTAACCTAGCTTCTTCATTCACATTAATTCAACTTTTGATCAGGAGTGTCCAAAATGTCACTGTATTTGTGTATTTCTATTGATTAATATTCTAGTATGGGATGTTTTAGTCTAGTTAATGATCATGCATTTATTGAGCTGAATTTCTTTCCACCACATCCATGAATCCAACCGCTCTCATCCACAGACTTGGTATTTACTCATGATTCACCTTTACCACGGAGCAAGGTAAGAAGAGCTAAAACGTGATTACACACACGGAGGATTAATCTGCAGATGAGCGCGGGCTAATGTATGCTAATGATCTGACAGGATATTCTTATGGACTCATTAGCATATCTGGAAGGCCAGACAGAGACGGCCGGCCTGTCTGAGGGGACGCAAAGGACGCTGATAAGAAGATCTGCTGTGTGTGTGTGTTTTTGATGGGAAATGTGAATAGACTGGATCCAGGCATGTCCCCCCCCCACCATCGCTGTCTCTTTCACCCCGACTATCTTATTTACAAATCCACACGCTGATCGGACAGAGAGCAAGCATATGCACGGCGATAGAACAGAAGGACAAGATAAGGACTAACGGGAATAATAGTGCACAATTTTACTGCAGTACAATAGTTTTCAGTCTTAACTCGCATCTGGTATAGAATTTCAGTGATAACATATTTTTTTTTGTTGAATAGAAAATAGAAATTGGGGCAAAGTTATGATTATTTTCTTATCTGTTACATATGTTTACAAAAAGGGGGAAAGTAAAATGACCACAATCAGAATTTGGTTCTGTTGTAGTGCTTTTGTTGCTGCTGGAGCCAGTGTATTCAAGATTTGATGGAATCTTATTTAGAAAGTATTATTTTAAAAGTAAAATAGTTGTAATGAAATCTTGAATTCTTAATTTCTTTAAACTTCTGCCACTGTCACAGAAATTTTTATAAAGGCTACAAACATAACCAAAACTAATCCCTATAGGAATATGCTATACATAAATACATCCATAAATACATATGTACATAGACATACGTACAATTAAGATAAGATCAGATAAGATAGACTTTATTGATCTCACACAGGAGAAATTTAGATAGAATCACTCAGAAGTGTGCAAACATGTTAGAGGCAAAAATAGAGTCTGTTCAGGATATATTATGTACAATATAAAGAAACAGTTAAACAGACAGTGGCAATGAGCATTTTTCAATTATAATTGTATTATGCAGATCAAATGAATGGACTTTTTTGTGAAACAACCATATAACAACATTAGCCATTTCTGACTTACTAAATTATCAAAGTAATTCCATACAGTATATTGTTTTTGTTTCTTCCAATCTGATATTAGTATATAAGTATCATATCAGACAGCAACAATGGAGTGACTGAAGCATTGTGTTGAAGTATAGCTGTCGTTCACTGTGCACGTGCCCTGCAGCCTTGTGGTGATCACCAGTCACTGTATCATTCTCTGCTCGGGCATCGGGAGCACTGGGCCGTGCAGAACACCGGCTTGCAGTGGAGCGGGGGTCTTTTGTGACTCCCATCTGTTTGGTGCATGTGGGACTGTCTCATGTCCCAGAGAAGGCCCAGCTGAAAGGGGCTGTGTGGGTTCATCTCTTATTGTGGTGCAGAAGTCGTGCTCACATACAGCTGGGAGATCAAACACTGACAGATGCCACAAAGAGAGAAGCAGTTTGAGTTTGTCTGTTAAGCTCATGAGCTAATATTTTCCTATTGACTGTCCAGTGTACACAGCCTTGTGACCCTCCGCTGGACGGATGTGCCAGCGCAGATCGATTCATAGTGTGCGGGATATGGCCTGTATGGGAGCAGGTGATAAGCAGCCTGGAGGAGACAGATCACCCAGAATGGTGCATGGTCCCAGTGTTGGAGGCCTGATCAAAAGACAAACCGAAAATATGGCTTTATGTTGTTACAGATGTTTGTTGACTTGCATTGTGCAACTTTGAATCATTGCGACTATTCTTGATCTTATCGCTACAATACCATTGGCTTATGGCTGTTGTTCACAGTATATTATAGATAATTGTGAACCTTGTATCCATCTTTTTCAGGTCTGGAAAAAGTGTCCACTGAAGCCTTTAAATAGTATATGTATAATCAGTCCTATATGTATGTTGACTTTTCCATTATGAGTCAATTGTCCATATGTGTGTATCAATGTATATGCAGTAGGTAAATAGTTAATAATTATTTTTGATAATTGATTGGTCTATACTTTATATACAGAGTCTAACACATGTATAGATGTAAAGAAGGGATTATATTGCTCAGTAAATACAAAACAATAAAACAAGAAATAAATGTATGTCTTGAATTAATGTAATATATTAGGATTCATGAATATTATCCATATAAGAACGCCCTCCAGCATCTTCACTTCAGTTTTTTTGTGTCAAATTGAGCTAAAATGTCATATTTCTAAACAATAACCGATTTATCAGAGGAATAAAGGATTCATCTATACAAAGAATCAGTAGTTATGTTACATACCCTGCATATTGACTGTCTCAAAGAAAAAGTTTTACTCAAGCAGGGCCAACATGAGGATTAGAATTACATGAACTTTCAATAATTCAATGTGATTATTATTGACAAGAAATCACATTGGATTACAATTTATCTTTGATATCTCTATAATCCATGTAGTGGTTATCAGGGATTTAGCATGTTGGATGAGCTGGTGAGGCAGGTGAGGCGCTGGTGAGAGACTTTGCATGTGTTGAGTGAAGGGCCAGTGCCATATGTCCACATCCTGCAGCCTCTCCCTGAGTCGATGAGAGCATACACAGGCACACTCCACACACTCCAGCCCGACAACAAAAGCCCCTGGGCCCCTACTCCCACCCTCCGCACCCCTTTCACACATGCACTGCAGCAGGGTGAGTGACAGCAGCTGCATTGACAAGCACAAAGCCGGGATGGGAGCGCTCAGCTGGCCTCACTCCCCACTTGACTCAGGCCTGACCTCTGGCATGTGCCTTGTGCTCCCTGCAGGCCTCGCCCTCCTCCTGCAGGCCGCTGTCTGCAACCCTATCGCGCACCACACACACCGCTCCCAGGCACACACGCTGCGAGGGAGCATCTCTGGGTCAGCTGGGTCAATTATATTCAAATTGAGGATAAATGATTTGTAAATCATGTACAGACAGAGAAACAGGAACATGTAAAAAAGATGGAGACACTTCCGTCTGTCCCAGGGAAATGAGAACTATGTTTTTGAAACAGATTTAAAATCTAGTTGTAATGATTTCCATTATGACAATTGTGAGGAAAGTGTTTGCATTTGTATAATTTTGTACAATTACAATGTGTTTTATGTGTTCTCGCCTGCAGTAACTTATACAATTCTTGTACATTTCTCCTTTGTGAGATCAATCATATATATCATATCTTATCTTATCTCAATCATCAATTATTTTCTAAAAATCAATGGTTTTGTACATTGTCAACAATACACTTAACCAAACTACTAAACTTGACTAAATGTGTTTTTGTAGGCAAAATTCTGCATGTTCTCTTGTCTTTGAAAATGTGTGGTGTATAGGCCCCAATGATCACTTTTACATTGCGTCACTTGCTATCCTATATGCTAACATTGAAACTGATGGATTTCAATGTTAGCATAATTGATACATTGGCAAGAACTATAGAGATTGGTAATTCCAAAAGACTTTACTCTTTGAAAAAGAGTTTCCTGATACCGTCTTGCTGTGATAGACAAGTGAATAACACTTTTGTTTTGGGATCAGTAAAAGCGACAAGAAAGCTGTACACACAAACAGAAGCTGTGCTGGCAGAGGAGGGGGTCTTCTTCACCCGCTGGCCCCCGCATGTCGTTCTGCTCCTTTACAACTCCACAACAAAATGGTCTTTTAATTTGCTGCGGCGTCTGTTCTGTCTGAATTCTGCCCGCATCAATCACCATCATCACCTCTGCAGCATCCCAGGGGTCCTCTTAGTTAACGGCCCCTCTCAGTCCTTGCCCCTGTGCACTTTCTAACCATCTCCATATAAACTATATGACATAGGCCTGTCACTAACAATTATTCTCTTCATCGACCTGCCAGTGATTAGTTTTTCGATTAGTTCGCTAGTCAAAGGTTCATTCAAGTTGTTTGAATACATATATATATATATATATATCAACTTGAAACTATATTAAACAAATTACAGTTGATGTCTCAGGGATTGCCCCATGCAAGAAAGAGAAATGAAATAAATGTATACATTGATACATCTTTTGCTTTATTTAATTATGCCACTGTATTTTTTGGGGTTTTTTTTTGGGTTATTGTGAATGTCTCTTGCCCATGTAGAACAACTTTATGAAATAGGTTTTTGAATATCAATGGAGTTTCCTGGTTAAATAAAGGTAAAAAATAATGAGAATGTTTACAGTTCATTTAACAGGACAAACCGATTCAAGCTTTCCTTTGTCCCAACTTCAGTTGTCCTTTTAAATAAAAAAATATTAACAACAAATGCACCCGAAAACTGTATGACTAGGACCTCATTATATTGGATGCTAACCTTAACATGTTGTATACTTCTGCCTTTTAGCACAATCTGAGTGATTCTATCTTTGCCAAATGTAAAATGTAAATTTCTCCATTGTGATCAATGAGATAAAGTTCTCTTATCTTATCTTAAAAGGGACTGAAAAGATTAAATTCTAACGTTTCTTTCTATGTTTATTCCTTCATGCAGATCTGTAGAGCACTGTATCCCACAACAAATTTCCCTTGGAGACAATATTCTTTATCTTATTTTATCTTATCTCATCTTCCAATTATCACATAAGATTAGTCACGATTAATGATGATATATTTATTTGTAAAGCACCTTTCAAAACAGATTTACATAGTCGACTCATCATTGCCACCCTGGAAGAATTGAAATGCATACCCCACATTTTGGACAGCACTGATGCCCCACGCCTCCACCATACCCAACATAAACAGATTAGCGTCTGCGTGAAGACATGCCATGAGATGCCAGGTATTTTCAGCTTTTAACTTTCTCATCCTCCTCCCTAATCAGCTTTAATTGACTACAATTAGCATCTAGTAATTAATTTTGTTTTGCACAAATTGTATGTATGAATAGTCCCAGTGGGTAGCTTGTTCATCTTGTTAGGGCCAATTAGCTGCAATTAACAAACACTAATCACTTGCTGTTTTTTTTCTATCCAAAACAAACAGTGCAGTACGTGCCAGCCCCCTGCAAAGCTCTGCAGAGGGCTCTTGTGTATAGGACTGATGCTGGGGCCACTGTTCTCATCAACACCTCTGAGGAGACGCTTCCACCCGGCCCTCTCTGGCGCTTAACGGGTAAATGAGAGCTCCGAGAGCTGACCCATATAGTCTGCGTGTGGTTATAGCTTTATACAAGATCGACGGTGATTCGTGATGTATATCTATAGGCTATCGCAACGGAATGTGTAAGATTTTGACGTTTTTATTAGTATGAGCTATAACGCAGCGGGGATATTTCACAGTGATGGCTGGTTTGTTATTTCCCTGTATAACCGCGATGACGTTATATTCTGTTTATATTTTTATACTTTGTTATTATGAACTGTTGCTCATATTTTAGCTCATTATGAAGTTACTATAAACTGGAAATATAGTTGCACACGTTTATAGAGTATAGCTGGGCCTGTACAAAAAGAGCGCGTGCCTATAGGTCTCCCTAATTGTGACGTCAGAGCAGTGTTGGTAACCAATGGGCTGCGCTCTCAGAGGTGAAGCTCATTAGGGTGCTCGCTGTTTTCATCCTCAGAGAGTCCAGTGGAGAGGGATGGCACATGAACCACGAGTCTGAGCGGACTGGCTTCGTTTTGCACAGAAAGAATCCGTTTTGGAACCACTCAGGATTGTCCACGCCGTGCGCACTCTCGCCTCTCCGCCTCAACATGGACCTCGGTGATGGAGCCGCCGTGTTTATCTCGTTATAATTTGCCTCCGAAAGGCGCTACCTGCTGCTGGTGTCTGTGAGCTGCTCAGACGAGGATTGGTTTCGTGGAGCACAGCAGTTCATGTTTTGTTTCCAGCTGAGATTAACGAGCGCAGTCCAGCAGGACACAGTGGAGCATTGGGGGTGTGGAAGTGCACCTCTCCGGGCCAAATCAACAGAACATAACAGGCCCGTTATTATCCACAGGGCCCAGCATCATGCTGCATTGTGCCAGCTGCGAGAAGCCCATTGCGGACAAATTTCTTCTGAAAGTTTTGGACAGACCGTGGCACGTCAAGTGCGTTCAGTGCTGCGAGTGTAAATGTAGTTTGTCTGAGAAGTGCTTTTCACGAGAGGGAAGACTGTACTGTAAAAACGATTTTTTCAGGTAATGTGGAAATAGTATGGATTTTATTGTTATTAATGTGCTGGGAATTAAACGTCTGTAGGCCTAAATATTAAGACATTGTTAACAAGAAACGTGTAGACTATTTTTTTAACTCTACGCTATTGTGCATGTCCTGTAGTTTCCTGGAGAATATGTCTAGGCTCTAAAATATAACATTCAAATATTAAAACAATATAATGTATTTTACCCGAGAAAGAACCAATACCTTTAAAATCCATAGCTCATTTTGGCACGTTAAGGCCCGTTCAATTCCAGTCTTCTCAATTAAGGAAGACGAACAGCATACGTAGGATCATTGAAGATCGGTTTAATGTGTGACCAATTATAAAACACTAAAGCTGTGTATCATCTGACTACAGGAGATTTGGGACAAAATGCGGAGGCTGCGCGCAGGGCATCCTGCCCAGTGACCTGGTGCGCAGAGCCAAGAGTAAAGTGTTCCACCTGAACTGCTTCACCTGTGTCATGTGCAACAGACAGCTGTCCACGGGAGAGGAGCTCTACGTCCTGGACGAGCTCAAGTTTGTGTGCAAAGAGGACTACGTGAACAGCAACAGCAAAGACACTATCCTGCTCTCGGGTATAACCTCCTCTCATCACTGATGCCGCCTGTGGCTGTTAGTGTGCGGAATTATCTCTCATGCATTTATCCTTTTTCTGTGTTCCAATAGTTTTGTTTAGACTATTATTTATATTATCACATTATTTAATTGTACACAATATTTACTCAACGAGTATATAGGCTCAAGTGAACCATTGCTGTTAACATCTGCTCAAACGCCTCCATCCAAAGGCTAATCTCTTTCAACATTCGCTTTTGTGTCTATTCCTGCGATAGTGACGACGTGCAGCGACCCGAGTTTATCTCCAGACTCGCAGGACCCGCAGGAGGACGGGAAGGACTCCGAGGCAGGACACTTATCAGATAAGGACGTGTGCAACAACGAGAACGAAGAGCAGAGCGCCTCGGGGAAAAGACGCGGGCCTCGCACGACCATCAAAGCCAAGCAGCTGGAGACGCTGAAGGCGGCGTTCTCCGCCACCCCGAAGCCCACCAGGCACATCCGAGAGCAGCTGTCCCGAGAGACGGGTCTCAACATGAGGGTCATCCAGGTACGCGTACTACAGGCCCGTGGCGCAGGCATGTGTCAGCGGCCGACGCTGTCCTCCGTGTGTGTATGTGTGTGGTGTGTGTGTGCGTGCGCGCGCGCATGTGTCTACGTGTTGTGTGTGTATGTCTGTGTGTGTATGTCTATGTGTGTGAGTGTCTGCCTGTGTGTGCCTGTGTGTGTCTATGTATGTATATGTGGGTGTGTGTGTGCGTGTGTGTATGGGGGGTCTAACAGTGGACCATGATACACAAGCAGAAAGCTGAGTCCCATGACTCGTCTTTGTGTGAAATTCATCAAATGCAAATGCTAAAAAAACATTAGAATGTTAATATTTATTTATGGTCCCAAATATAATTTGTTTTCGGTAGAAAAATATTTTATTAAGATCACATTAACTGTGCCATCATCACACAGAGGACACTTATTTTCAACATAATGGCTAAGAAGTAAACAAGATAGCCTGTGTGTCTCTGATTGTGTGGGTGTGTGTGTTTATCTAGATATTTATGAACAATTTGGTATATGTATTATAAATATCCTTCACCAAATTTTGCTGGAGTAAACAAATAAATGAATAGTATAAAGTAAAATATGGATCGAACAGCAAAACGGTCACAAATATACACAAGGAATTGCCAAAGCCTATTGCATATGAAATAAAGTCCAAAATGTCAAACGTGACATTGTGTTGCAGGTGTGGTTCCAGAACCGACGGTCGAAGGAGCGGCGTATGAAGCAGCTGAGCTCCCTGAGCGGCCGGAGACACGTCTTCTTCAGGGGGACACGGAGGATGAGGGCTCTGGGGGAGCGGCTGGAGCCCGGAGAGCTCGGACACTTCTCCTATTATGGAGGTGACTAATGTTGAACTGTGTGGATATGATAGATATGTCGATAGCTGCAGTTAATGGTCTTGTAATGATGTAAAAGAGCTAACATTGTGACTTGTGAAATGAAAATATGTAATTTCTCATGACAGATTATCCTGCTGAATACTACAGCGCAGGAGGAAACTATGAATACTTCCAAGGACCTCCACCCACACAGGCTCAGACTCCGTCAGATTTGGGGTTTGTTCCCTCCTCTGTGCCGGCAGGGACACCTTTAGGTGCAATGGAGCACCCCCATCACACCTCACACTGCCCCCCGGACGTGCAGTGTTACTCGGACCGTCTCCCCTCAGACTCCCCCAGCCCTGAGCCCAGTGGACCAGGATCCATGCACAGCATGTCCAGTGACATGTGTGGACCCAGCACTCCTTACACCTCCATGTCCCTGGACAACGGCTACACAAACCAGCTCTCGCAGCCATCGTCAGACATGAGCGAAGGGACTGTGTGGTAACACAACCGCAAATCTGTACTAGGATCTTTTCCATACGCACATGCTTTATGCTCACTTTATTTATGTATTTGTTGGTTTGTTCATTTATTTATTTATTTATTGAATGTGTAAGTAGTTATTTATATATTTATTTGCAGCACTTCTCTTTTATAACGTATCCAATAACTATGTCGAAACTAAACCAGTTTATGATGGTTTTGTTCTGAATATTTCTGGTGATATTTTAATACGAACTTGATTTCAGAACCGTACATGGTTTTGGATTGGCACTTCTAAATGCAGTAAAATAAATGGATGGGACTCATATGAGGCCTAATCAGAATTTGAGATTTAACACATATTTATTTTGAGCTAATTAATATTGCTGTATGGAAGACAACAAGTGAGTTTTTTTCAGCACTTCAAAAAGGCAAAATAGAGTATATAGCCCTAGTGATAATTTATTAGTCCCTCCTATTTGTTTCTATTCTATCTGTTTGAGTTGATTGTCGATCAATAGGTTGTTTTAGTCCATTGAAAATTGACAATTATACAACAATAGATAAATAATGGCTAAACTTAATCTTCATAACAAATGAATGGTTGATCGCCTGATTTATTACCATCACCATAATGTCAATGTAAGTTCTGTTTTGACACCAGCACATTCCATGATTGTAAATTACCAAAAATCTTCTCAGGACTCATACAGAATGACATTATGTTCTGATTGGTTAAGTCCTTTGTTTATTGCTTTCAAACGGGAGCCCTGAACACTATTCCTGTGACCTACCTTTAATGAAGTGAACGACAGTCGTGTGTTTACGTACCAGTTTTCAGGGCTCACTCACTGTTGGAAACCTCTCGGTGCACAAGGCCAGTTGCAAATAAACCAAAATGTTTTTGCTGTCTCAATGTCCTCTCCGTGAGCTAGTTTATATAATGTCCTGAATAAAAAAGATGTCCTGAATAAAAAAGAATAAAACACTGTAGTTATCTGCACATGACTACATTGTGGTGTGGTATTGTTTGAGTGTGAGATGAAATGCCTTTTGGAAAGCTTTAGGATGAACATTTTGTATTTAGGCTATTTATTATTTATTATATTATTTTGATATTTATCATCTTCCTCGACCCGACTGGGGCCAGGACTCCCCTGACAAAAAAGATTCTGAAACCTCAGTGGGACCTTCCTGTTAAGCAAAAGGTCAATACATAAATAATGATAATAAATTGTCATTTTCTAGACAATCAATTGCAGGTCAGTATGATTTTAAAAGCAACAAATGGCAATGGTCAAAGCACATTTTGGAAGCCAACTGTGCAGCCAAACGTACTCATTATTACTATGCCAATACAATGAATAGGAAATATGTACATACATGGTCTTTTTAAATAGGAAAATGCACAGCGATGTTTACCATACGCCTTCTACTTAATCCTTATTGATATTACTTGCATTTTAAATAACTTTCCTGCAGTCTTTTGTCAACATGAAAATGGATTCCTAAGCCCTATATGTTTAAATATTTTCAATACAGCTAAAGCGGCGTGCTGGTAATCAAACTAATCCGTGTTTATCAGGACAAAATGCCCCGATTAAGGGAGATTTGCATGTCAAACACTCGGCCAGTAAATCCATTCAAATCTGGATTCTGATGGGGATAACGAAAGGCGGTCTGGATCTAAACTTCTTTGTTTCTCTCCTGAGTTCATCTCAATGCATTAGAATATGAAACGATAAGTTAGAGAGACATAATATTGCTAGTAAAACGTGTCTCTTAAGTAAAGACATTTCACTTCTTATGCACAATGATATAATTATTGTGCTATAGATTTTGAGTCAGCTATATATAAACATTTGAACTATTCGTGGTCACCTTGAGCTTCGAAAAAAACATTCCAGTCGTTGTTTCATCTGAATTGCATTTGAACTTGAATCCTGTCCGTTCATCGCTGTTGCATATTGTCACTTTGAATATATCACCGAAGTCACTCATTTGCCTCTTCCCTCTCTGCTGGTCCACTTTCTGCATGAAAATCATTCACACATACAATTTTATAATCAATGGCCACGGTAATAGGATTCCTCTGGCCACGGGCAATTAATACAGCCCCCTCCCCTTTTCTCTCTCTTTTTCTTCTCCTCCTCACACTGATCTCAAAGCTACGAGACATTGGCTTCTCCTCATTTACATATTTATTGCATTGGACTCAAATCTGCCGAGTGATTGATGTGGAGCCTGCCTCCTGAATTTTCAGCGTGCCATTATTATGAGAGAGAGAGAAAGAGAATGAGGGGGGCACAGGCGGGCATCGGTGTACTTTTGATTAAAGTTGAAGAGGACAGGAGTTTCCCACATGTGTCTGCGGCTAAACATTGTGTGTCCGTAGAAGATCAATGACAGAGGTTCTATCAATTCAAGCGCGTGCATGGCATTGTCACGTAAATGGCCACTGTGTATATGCTATGTGTATTTAGATTGTGTTTTCACCAACTTTTCAGACAGACCTCAAAATATGCACAAACTCTGCTGAAAGCATATGTTCCGTATTACCATAGCAACGGTCAGAACCTAGTTAGTGGGTGGAGAATACATGTTTGAGTTATTATTATTATTATTGAGGACCAGGGCCTTTCTGAGTGGAGTTTGCATGTTCTCCCCGTGTCTGAGTAGGTTTCCTCCGGGTACTCCGGTTTCCCCTACCACTAAAAACATGTACAATAGGTCTGGCATGTGCCTCCTGTTCGGCGACCCCGCTCCCATCTCTGTGTGGAGTGAGAGGACAAATGCCCAAAAATAACCATTGTAAACCGCTTTGTGACTCTCGTCTGTGAAAGGCGGTATATAAATAAAAGATTACTTACTTACTTACTATTAAGATTAAGAGTTCTTTATTCGTCCCACAGTGGGGAAATTTCAGTGGTGTATCACCAGTTACAGAACAGTAGGAATGAGTAGTAGTAGTTCGGCCATTATGTACAGTAGATCTCAGGTCATATATTTTCAAAGATTGTAGACATTTTACAATTAGAAAAAAAAATGATTTAAATTGTGTATATTGAGAATCTTAGTGCTAAATAATGCCTGACCGAAAGGGGTTAAGGCTGAAGTCGAAACATACTATAGTGACCTCTGTTACAACTGTGATTGTACACATTATACAGATTCTCATATACCAACAATGGTAACATAAACCATTTAGCATAAAACTTAAACAATCAAAAGTATGTTATACATGATCAAAATTTGATATGACACAATATGCTGTTTCTCATATACCAATGACGGTAACATGTAAACATAAAACCTGATCAGAGTTATTATGCATAATCCAATTCATGTGTTCTATACTTCTTCATAAAGTAGCACACAGCACAAGAAAAATGAGCAATAACTCTATACTAAATAAAATAGAATAAAATGTCTAACTCTAGCATCAAAAAGAAACAAATATAAAATCTCTATCTTTATCATAATGAGAACAAAAACTCTGGATTTAGCATAATGCAGAAGTATAAAATAATTGGCATAGTCAGAAGCAAGTATAAAGTACTGTGTATTCTAGTGCAAGCAATATATAGTTGTGATTCATGTCTTGTGTTATTTGTAACTTCTCTCATGTTATGTTAATTAATCAAATCTTCGACACAATTTTATGATAATAACATAGCACCCAAAATGATCTCGCTAACCCCCAGTTTAAGTCCTGCAATCCCTCTATGGGTCCTGGTCTAGGGTCCCTCATTACAACTAAAGAAGTAAGTTTGCTCAATCATGAAATGGGAATTAGACCAAAATGGCAAAGCGCTTAGTGTGACCTTGCGCTATATAAATAAATACTACTTACGTAAAAAATCAAAAGATCTCAAACCGGGTGCTGTAAAAAAAAAAAAATGTGGAGAAACGATGACATTTGCTCCCCAGACATCTTATTTGATCCTAATTATGAATGTATTATTTAAAAATATTCATACACATGTTTAGATGGTTTTATAACAGTGAAAAAATTGAAGAAAATAGAATGTGCAGCTTGTGTTATTGTCGATTTTGAGCCGTTGTGCTGAACTGCTTTGAACAGGACCGAGACAAAGACACAAGGTAGATGGTTCTCCCGTTGGCAATCATGCATGTAATGTTGCAGTGCAGGGAAAGCAGAGCATGTGTGTGTGTGTGTACGAGTGTGTAATGGGTACATGGGTGTGTGTGTGCATAAGTGTGTAATGGGTACATGGTTGTGTGTGTGTGTGTGTGCGTGTGTGTGTGTGTGATGGGGGGGGGGTTGTCCACGGAGCTCTCATACCTCTCGGGGTTCACATTGACAGATTGAACTACTTATAGCTTGTCAAGAAAAAAAAAAAACGGTATAGCTTGTATTATAATGGGTAACACTTTACATTACGGGCCGGTAAGTCCATGGTACTTACAGTGGTACTTCTAGGTACTTACAGTGGTACTTCTAGGTACTTACAGTGGTACTTACGGTGGTACTTACGGTGGTACTTACGGTGGTACTTACGGTGGTACTTACGGTGGTACTTACGGTGGTACTTACGGTGGTACTTACGGTGGTACTTACAGGGGTACTTACGGTGGTACTTACGGTGGTACTTACGGTGGTACTTACAGTGGTACTTACAGTGGTACTTACAGTGGTACTTCTAGGTACTTACAGTGGTACTTACAGTGGTACTTCTAGGTACTTACGGTGGTACTTACGGTGGTACTTACGGTGGTACTTACGGTGGTACTTACGGTGGTACTTACGGTGGTACTTACGGTGGTACTTACAGGGGTACTTACGGTGGTACTTACGGTGGTACTTACGGTGGTACTTACGGTGGTACTTACAGTGGTACTTACAGTGGTACTTACAGTGGTACTTACAGTGGTACTTCTAGGTACTTCTAGGTACTTACAGTGGTACTTCTAGTGGTACTTCTAGGTACTTATTGTGGTACTTACAGTGGTACTTCTAGGTACTTACAGTGGTACTTAGAGGTACTTATTGTGATAATT